CCGCTCTCTTCAGCAGCTTCTCGGTCTCTTCTGTCGTGTCATCCTCAATCCGTGTATCTGAGATTCTATTCCCTGGCCTATTGTCCACGTCCCCGGTCTCTTAGCCATTTGGTGAGCTACGTCCTCATAAATCAGACCGCAGGTTTCAATTCTAGCTATAGACTCTCTTCATCTAGACTTCTATGCCACAACGGGTACGAAATCCACGACATAACGATGATGTGACGTCGGTCGAAAGAGAACCGACGTCCGTTCGTCCTGACCCAAATGTTCGCGCCAAGACGGTTAAACTACCCCACGCTGTACCTGGTCGCAATTTACCCATCCCCAATCCGTGGCGTTCTCCCCTCATAACCAACCCTGCAAAAGGCAAGGTGTCTAGGAATGCTTGAATCGACAGACGGGCGATCCTCCGCAGAAACGGAAGTTATGTTGTTCCACCTCTGAGAAATTTCCCAGCGGACTTTACTTCGGCCGCTGTTACGAAGGGCGGGGAGGGGCAAGGCAAGCCACAGTTGGATTGTGTTGCTGGGGACGATGAGGTTGTATTTATATAAAGTCGCTGCTATGAAACATGTGGTCACGGAGGCAAATCTTCACCCTGAACAAGTATGATATTCAATAAGCTACTCTTGGCTCTGCTTGCCGCGCGGTCCATTGATGCTGCCCCGCCTTCCAGGCGGGCGCATTTTGACTGGGATAAGACGGATTTCGTGTATGTTCTCACCAAGTTACTCGACGCATTATGTCACTGACTGGCTCCCAGACTCGCGTTTGGCGATTCGTATACCTTTGTGCAGGGTACAGAAGGGAATAAGGATTTTTCGTTTATTGGCGACAACTTGAACTTGAGTTACACCAAGGAGAAGTTGTATGGGGACAAGATTGTCAAAAATCAGGTAAGTAACATGTTCTCATCCGAGAAATTGGGGAGTTTTAACATCTGAAGACGTCGGCGGGGGGACCTAATTGGACCGAGTACTTGACGGGCTGTTATGAAGGCTTCCCGTGGAAATGCAAGAGACCATTATGGAATTTTGCGTTTGCTGGATCGGATATATCAGTTGAATAGTAAGCCTTCGTTTTGGGAGTCTATATCTCTTTGGAAACCCATTAATAACTGTGATAACAGTACCCCGCTACATCATGACTTCACCGTCGACTTTGTCAACCAGATTGAGCAATATGACACGTATGGTGATAAGCATCTGCCAAAAAACAGGAAGAATGCTCTTGTTGCGGTCTGGATTGGGTATGTTCTATCAGTCCCTGAAAGTACGGTATTGTGCTAACGGTCTGTCAATAGCATCAATGACATTTCAGACTCGGCCAAATACGCTTTGAATGTCACCGGTGTAAATTACACGAGTTTATACACGAAGATGATCGAAACACAGTTCCAAGCAATGGTAATTATAAGAATCCTACCTGCCAAAGGCTGACTTCATTGAAAGATGAACAGAGGCCTGACCTGCATCGTTATTTGCTAATACTTCTCTAGGAAACTCTCGAAGCTGACGGATACCACAACTACCTTGTTATGGGACAGCCTCCCAGAGATAGAACGCCCGCTGGTCTCATCTCCGAGCATCCATTACCCAACAAGACAATGTTTGCCAACTGGGATCATATCATAGAATCGACTGCTCGCAAATTCGAAGAGAAGCACCAAGAATCGAATGTCTTCGTATTTGATACGTATTCATTCCTATCAGATGTCCTGGACAATTCCGAGAAGCACCACTTCACAAACATCACAGCCTTCTGTAAAGACTATGCTGCGCCGGATATTATCTGGAATTATGCGAACTACGGGTGTGAGCCGATTTATAACTATTTCTGGTTGAGTAAGTGCCGCCTCCCTTATGACTGGAAGCTGGATGTTACGCAATATACTGACATAATTATAGATTCGGGTCACATTACGTACCACGCCCATGAGATTTTGGCAAAAGGCGTATCCGCATTCTTGAGGCGGATGAAGCGCTAGTAGTACTACGTCGGGTGGAGGTTAAAATAAACCTCTAGAAGCTAAAATCGGGATTGATGGATTGTTCAAGTTGAAAACCGTCCCATGTTCTTACGGAATAGGAGGTGGAGGTGGATATCCTTGGTCGGCCTAGTTTTTAGACTCTACCTCATGATTCGTAATTAAAGCCTGTGCTTCCGTATGGATTTCAAGTGGCCAATTGGTACCGTGTGAAGCTTCATTCTGTGGGGGCTTATCCCCACCGTCGCGCGATCAAGACGTGATACCTTGTTACAGCGACGGTCATCATTTTGATAGCCTCGGCAATGCTGCCTGGCAGATGTTAAATTATGATACAGTACTACCGACTTTAATTGTTCTGCGTCTGTATTTCTATAATTTGACAGGTTTATACTCCAATCGGTGAGGTGATATGCTAGCTTCTATGGGCGATTGGAGGAAAAACTCATAAACGAGGTCAATGGAAAACGAAATGCCATATTAAAGGCGTTGCAGATTTAATGACTTTTATATTCAAACGGCTTCCCCGCAAATATAAGCTTTAGGCTGAGCAAAATTACTTTGCTATAAAGGCTTGAAGGTCTTGGTTGCCGCGATGCACGTTGGTAATAAATCTTATTTTCGTGTACATACTCCCTCATAACACTCACCATGCTTAGAAACCTTAAATTTGTAACTGCCATTCTGGCAATTATTTCCGGGACTGTTGCCCAAAATGCTTTTGAAGGAGCCATAGGTTTTGGCGCCGTATCAACCGGTGGAAATGGCGGAACTGTAGTCACCGTCACCAACCTCGAGGACAGTGGCGCCGGCTCCTTTCGTGATGCTGTCAGCCAATCCAACCGCATCATCAATTTTGCTGTCGCTGGTTACATCGTCTTGAAGTCTCCTGTATCTCTATCAAGCCACATCACCATCAATGGGCAGAGTGCACCAAGCCCAGGAATCGGCGTCATGGCCGGCGAGATTTCCGCCAGTGGAAAGAACAATATTGTCATCCGTAACTTCCGCATGCGTCAGGGAAACCTCGATAAACAGACTGGAAAAAGCGCCTTTAATATGGGAGAGTCATCCAATATCATCCTGGACCACTGCTCGGTTGCTTACGGCCAGTGGGACTCCATCGACGCTGTCAAGGCCGTGAATATAACTGTATCAAACTCCATAATTGCCTTCCCCATCGGGCAACAATTCGGCGCACACATTGAGGGAGGCCCTGCAACTCTATACGGAAACCTCTGGGTCAGCGCCCATAATCGCCAACCTCTCACCAAGAGTAATACGCAGTATATTAACAACATCGTTTACAACTACCAAGCCGCCTACACCACCGCGGAAACGAGCGGCTACTTCTCCCATGACATCCTCAACAACTACTTCATCACGGGGCCCAGCACCACCAACCCGAGCAATTACTACTACCAGATGAACGAAAAGCAGAGTGTGTACGCCCATGGAAACTACGCCGATACCAAGAACGACGGCGTGCTTGCTGGCGCCTTGGAGAACAAGGTGGGTAGCGCCGTTGTGCTTGACGCGGCGTGGGATCCAACTTCCGTTGGTTTGGCCAAACTCACTGCTCTCGAGGCATACACAGCCGTCCTCGCCAGTGCGGGAGCCTCCCCACGCGATGAAGTTGATGCGTTTGCTGTTTCGACTGTGAAGACTCTGGGGAAGTCTGGTGTGATCTACACGAACCAGGCGAGCACAGGTCTTTCGAACGGCGGCTATGGCACGCTGTAAGGGATTCCATGGGATATCATTACCCGGGGGGGAAGATGGAGATCTAAGCAATTTGCTTCTGTTCATGCCCTATACATACTTTGGGGAGTGATGTACATATTTCTTAAAGTGCTAGTAGGGTCTCCATATATTTGTTATAGCAAGGCTTTTATTGTGATTCACGGTTAATCCAGCTACGACAAATTACATAAGGCACGGTGGAAACCATTGATCCCACAGATGGGCGCACAAAAATCAAACAATGACATGCCAATTGTGACTCTGTGCGATGCGGATTTTCGCCAACTGTGGCATCATGGAGGTGGCTCTGTAGATGGCCACACGAGGTACTGTGGCCGACAGAGAAAAAGAAGTGGCAGTGAAGAGTGGCAGTGAGAAAACGGCGCTATAGTGACAGTATGGGCGACAGCGAGAAAGGGGGTGACGGTAGAAAATATGAGCTTGGTGATTACAATATCATCGATGAACTCTGTCCCAGACCCCAACCAAGGTAGGAACTTGACGTAAAGTCTCTAGCTATAACACCGTCGAATTTCCGTTGTCGTGACATTGTGGACTGTACGATGGAGAAAATCGACTACTATGTCTACGAGATATTACCTGAGAGGCAATATATATATTTCATCCGGAATTGGTACTGATGGCACAAGGTGTTACTGGCTGTTGACCTTCTCCGATAGCTGAACTACTTGCCGTCTTACATATATCCGGTGTATCCGATGGGGTTGGCATGAGATGCATCATTGAGGCGCGCGCAGCGAGTCCCAACCATCCATGGGATCGATCATTTAACCGCTTGATTTCAAGATTGGTAGAGACTGGACTAATAAGATTATTATCGCGATGCCATATTAGAGTTTTTGAAGATAAGGCCTAGTTGATATAATCAACTGTCTCGTGAAGAGATGATGTTGCTCTTCGCGAAGCTCGCCATCGAGAATTCTAATGGCGTGCGCTGGCTGACTGACAAATCCCATGGCGCTTCAAGGCGAGACAATGGCATCAGACGCGACTGAGACAATCGGAACGATGGGTTAAGTACGATCTCAACTTCTTGTTTCATCATTTTTCTACTTGGTTTGTTCATATTTGCGAATCCACAAGCAATGTTACGATGAGTCTCAATGAACAAGAGCCGTTGTTGAGCAAAATTAGCACTGGAGAGCCTGAGAGCCACGTAATCGATGATGGCCTCTCAGACCCCGTACCATCAAGAAACATCGACGACGACGTTCTCCCAGAAACTGCCACCTATGGTCGCAATCTTGGATGGAGCGGCGCATATATCGTCGTCATCTCTCGAGTAATCGGCAGCGGCATTTTCGCGACTCCCGGCTCCATCACAAAATCAGTCGGGAGCATCGGAATCTCACTCCTGTTGTGGGTTGCCGGCGCAGTCCTGGCCGCCTGTGGCCTTTCTATATCCCTTGAATACGGATGCATGCTTCCAAGGTCTGGCGGCGAGAAGGTGTACCTAGAGTTCACCTACCGGCATCCTCGATTCCTTGCATCTACTTTGGTAGCTGTTCAGGCTGTTTTACTTGGCTTCACAGCGAGTAATTGCATTGTTTTTGGGCGATATACCGTCTATGCCTTCTATGGGCACGATGCAACTGACTTCGCTCAAAAGTTGGTGGCAGCCAGCTTAATGACGGTGATTACTGTCATCCATGGCAGTCACGTCAAGACCGGAATCGCGATCCAGAATGCGTTCGGATGGGTTAAGGTAGTTTTGGTTGTCTCCATGGGATTTGCGGGACTTTATGTGATACTTTTCCGACCCACGGCTACAGACCTACCGGCATCAGAGAGACAAGCCTTTAGTTGGGATGACCTATGGGAAGGTTCTAATTGGAGTTGGGGCATCATTTCCACAGCCGTCTTCAAGGTTTCGTATTCATACGCCGGACTCCACAATATCAACAACGTCTTAAATGAAGTTAAAGATCCAGTCAGGACGCTGAAGTCCGTGGGGCCAATTGCGCTCCTCACCGCGTGCATATTCTACTTGCTTGTGAACATTGCATACTTCGCCGTCATCCCCCTTCAAGAAATCAAAGACAGTGGCGAGCTTGTCGCGGCCCTTTTTTTTGATCGTTTGTTTGGCAACAGCATTGGCAAAACGGTACTGCCCCTCGCAATTGCCGTGTCCGCTGCTGGAAATGTCATGGTAGTAACATTCGCTTCCGTAAGTTCCACCTGCAAAAACCTTCTACATATCACTCACCTTCACAGGCAAGAGTAAACCAAGAGATAGCCCGCCAGGGGTTTCTCCCTTACGCTAGTCTGTTTTCTTCCTCTCGCCCTTTTAATACCCCTCTCGGGGGTCTCATCGTGCATTACATCCCTTCCATTCTTGTCATAACTCTTCCTCCCTTGGGAGATGTTTACGCCTTTATCCTTGACGTTGAGGGTTATCCCGGGCAATTTTTTGCTTTAGCAACTACTGTTGGCCTTCTCAAACTCCGCAAGAGCCACCCGGATATATTGCGTCCGTTCAGAGCATGGCTGCCGGTGGTATGGCTGAGGATTGGGGTTTGCCTTGCCCTTATTGCAGCGCCGTTTGTGCCGCCAAAAGGAGGTAAAGGAGATGTAAGCTTTTTCTATGCGACGTATGCTATTGTAGGGATTATGATGTGAGTATTGACCTCCACATCACTGGGATTTAGCTGATGTATCTAGAATATTATTTGCGGTAGGGTATTGGTATGTGTATTTTGTCGCTTTGCCGTGGTGGAATGGGCATAGGATTGAAGAGGAAACTGATGTATTGGAGGATGGAACAAGCATTACAAAGCTTGTAAAGGTGAAGAATATAGAGGTGAGTTAATGGGATTTTGGAGCAGCGTCGGAACTGTGGGAATAAATGAACCTTATGAGAGCTACGAGACTGTGAACGAATAGGACGGGTACTGATTAAGACATACATTTAGATGGAAATTATATAGGCAGCCCTTGCAATAACTCAGAAGTTTGAATGAAAGGTGGCGTTATATTGCGAAGCAGAAACATGCTCCTCATTGCAGCAGCTTCCTTCAACGAAAACGCCTAAATTATAAAACGACACAACGATGATTTCTCCTTTGCTTCTTCTTTGGCCACAAGCGCCGACGGGGAGTATACTTTTCAGTAGAAAGAGCAATACTCATAACAGCGTCAAGAAGCTCTGGCACGCCTTCCCCTGTAATAGCCGAGCACTCGAAGTAGCCGTCCATGTCGATACTCTGTGCGTATTGTTTTGCTCTTGCTCTGCCAGCACTCGTATCTGGATCTTGAGAGTCGCTCCTGCATCCAACCATAAAAATAGGCATTCTTATTTCTTGTGGGAAGTCTCGAGAGCACAACCCCTCAAGCTTCCACTGAAGGACTTCCAGATGGTCCTCCACGCTACCCATGAAGTCAAGTGAGAAGCAGAATAAGACGACAGCTGCATTGACGAACATTATGGGGAGAAGCCTCGTGTAAGTATATGAATTCTCCCAGAAGGAAACTACACTTGTGTCGCCTTCTACCCCGCGCTGTAGTTCCGTAATATTCGAATCAGAAGGAGGTAATATTTCACTAGGGAGACCACCGTAGGAGGTGTCCACTGCTTCTTTGAGGAGTGCGGCTATGAGTAAAGTTTTCCCAACACCTTCTAAACCATCAACGGTAACCTTACGAAACCTAGAGCTAGGTTTTTTCTTTGGTACTGGAAGATATTAGCAACAGAAGCGAGTGTACCCGGTTAGATTCATACAAGGCAATGGCATATCTTTCGAGGATGCTGGGACATTACCCTGACGATTGGATGGAGTTGTATGTATATTTTGTAGAGTTTGAAAGACGCTGGGTTCGGTCAACTATTCAGCTTTCGTGTACGGATGGAAACAGTTTACGTCTGATCGTTGTCATAAACAGGTGGACTGCTATAGCCTTGGGGTCTTATGCCTTCAAGAGTAAGCCGGTGATCTATTAGGCCGACAAGTAGCCATGTGGTTGATTGCCTTGAATGGTTCATGATGATCAAGACCCCGACATGTGTCTCTCTCGTATTGCACAGCCACAACATAACCGAGCCACAACGAACTCTGACATGCACCTTCCCCCGTCGCCAGCATTTAATCTTCTATTCCGTGCTATGGCGGATGCTATGAACGATGGACCACCGATACAATGCTGGGCTTGCCGCGAAAAAGAGCTTCAACTCACTCCATAGCTTCTGTCTTCATCTGTATCGCTAGGAGGATCAACCACCGCTCCATTTTCTACGAGCACCAGCTCATCAACCCTTTCCCTATTATATTCGACCCGCTTCCAAGTCGTTAAGCTCCCAGTAGTCGTACCGAGTTCCCAGACCCGCATTCGTCGGTGAAATCGCTTTTGCCTTGGCCATTTGCCGTATGAGCAGTATCCCCCGAACCCGCTACCACCTCCATAGCATAGCCAAGGGCCACGCTGAGGGGCTCCGTCACCATCCTGCTGCACTTGTTGTGGCAGCAGAGCGCAAAAGTCATTTACGTGATCGTGTCCGCAGCCTACAGCCGAAATTTCTTCTTTGACCAAAGCGTCGTAGAAATGGGAGTTGATGTTAGGCCCCTCAGTCGGTTCCTCTCGGTGTCCGTTGCCTATACGAAGGTTTTTGTCTCCAAACTCGGGAAGAGGGATGTGTAGGAAAACCAGAGATAAATGGAAGCCACTGTTGTTATTGTCGTCTTGCGCCATTCGTGCCGCTTGGGAAGTTTCCGTAAACCAGTCAATCTGGCTTTGCTTGATATGATCATAGCCAGTGGTACCAGGAACTTGACCATGTGAATCCAAGAAGTATAAAGTCGATAACGGGAGTGATGACTGGCCGGGAGCCAAAACCTGAATATAGTAGTTGCCTATGCCGTCTACATTCGTTGGGCCTGGCCTACAGAAGCTAAACGGCAGATTCTGGAGTATTGACATCTGCTTATCTCCTATAATCCAGTTAGCAATCATTCCCATGAACTACGTTAGTAGGAATTCAGAACAAACTTGCAGAGCAGTCCGCGCCGTTTATAAGAGTGTAACAACTCCGAGTTGTCGATGGCTAGTGGGCTAACTAATGAAAGAAGATACTGACGATTTAATGCGTGGATTCCCTCACTATCATGGTTCCCAAAGACAGCCGCGAATGGGATTGATCTGTTGATCATTGGGGCTACCACCTTGAAAATAGCAGTGTGACTCTCCGGGATGTCGTGGTGTAACTGATCTCCAGTGAGAACCACAAGGTCTGGTTTCTCAATATCCAAGATATTTTCAATGAACTTTACCGTAAGTGGATCGGCGTCGCTCTCTGGCAGATCGTTCCCATGGGCATCAATAGCATCCCTACATACCCCGACACCGGTGACCATGTGTGTGTCAGAGATCTGGAGGATCTTGAATTTGCCATCCTCCCTGACTCTCAAAGCCGCCGGAGTATCTGATCTCGGTGCCCTGCCGCGGAGTACACTTAGTCTCGCAACTGGTATCTTCGGGTGAGTCTCAAGCTGGAGCGGTGATTGCATGAGAGCCCATTGCGGTCGCGGGTCAACGGCATCTACGCCAAAGAACACATCCACCTCTGTAACAGTCTCGTCAATAGTAGAGAACTTGCGTCTCAACAACCAGATTCCGTAAGGTCGGCTCTCCCATGAAGTACCTGAGTCAGTGGGAGTCTGCTCACCGACGCTGATATTCACAACAACCAAGTCCTCTGCCGCACGTAGTTCTTCCTTATTCACTAACGCTACATACAACCATGCACTTTGCTGGGATGCATATAGGTAGAGCTCCTTCTCTATGCGGTGCCATTTTGTGTCGGAGGCGGAAGGAGGAGCTGCCGGAGAGACTATTACTCTGAGATCCGTGACAACGTGGGTAGCAACGGCTGCACTATCGTTGGAGGGGAGAACTCCCAAACTCTTAGAGTACGTAGCATCATCGCTCCTAAGAGAAGCCTTAACGCAGATATCGGACATTTTTTCTTCGTTTTGTTGAGCAACTTCCAAGGAATGTGGTTTGCAATACACGTGATTGGTAAGTGCCAGCGGATGACATGTCACTCGATAGTATTAATGACGGTTACCCGACGGTCTCGATAATCCCTCGATAGTACCCACCGACTTGTCCTCCGTCTTTCTCCTTCCTGAATTCCTGCCCTAGAGCCGCTCACTATCTCCATAGACATAATTTTGACAAGTCACGATTGATTTTAGTGGCATGAATCTGAATATAATCCACTAATACTAGAATATACATAAGAGGTATAGGCCGATGGCACAGCGAATTCTGATTCAATCTTCCACTCCGTTATATGGCGGATGCTATGAACGACGGATCACCAATACAATGCTGGGCTTGCCGGCGAAAAAGACTTGTATGCGACTCCACTCGCCCAGCATGTAAAAAGTGCTTCAAGAGAGGGACAGTGTGTCCAGGATATGGCGCGAAGCCACTGACTTGGGTTGAGCCTCGCCAGAAGAGAACTTGCAAAGGAAAGGATAGACGGGAGGAGAACGGAAGCGAGGCAGATGTGTCGGGGATGGCAATCGTTAAGCTTATGAAACCGCGGTTCAAAGGGGTTGATGCGTGCATGAGCAGGTCATTTGATAGCCAAGCTGTCCTCCATGCCATAGATTACTGTAAGTATTTCAATGGACATCCGTACTTTCTGGTAATATCCTGCGATCTAATATACCATGATGCCTAAAGACAATACCATGATCTCTCCAGACCTAGTCCCAGTCGAAAATCCAGAAAATCCATATCGCTTCAGCTCGTCAGATGTGCGCTTTCTCCCACCGACGGTTCTACACAATCTCTTCTCCATTGTGTTTAGCCACGAACTCATCCGCCGAAATGGAGTACATTCGGATAATGGTTCTCAATCCTCCTCGGTGGCCGTGTATAGCCATCGGGGACTAGCCCTTCGATCGCTGAATGAAGATCTTTCATCACCTGAAACGCAAACTAGCGATATGGTTATTGCCTGTATTTTGATGTTTACTTTGGCGGAGGTGAGGCTATATATGTTGATTAGAACATGTAGCACATGCTGATTCCAGAAATTTAGCTTCAGCTTTCGGTCTGTCACGATTGGGACAAGCACATCGCAGGCGTCAAAAAGATCATCGAATTACGAGGTGGCATAAAAAATGTTGCCGGGCGAGACGTCCATCTGGATTCTATGCTTGCTTACTTTATGATGTATGGCCATTTCTAATTTTTGCATTTGCCCTGAGTTGCTAACAGGTTCTATGTAGCATTGATGTTATGAGCTTCACAACAAGTCCGCGTTCTGCTGTAGCTCGGACGGATTCTTGGATGAATGACCAAATACAGTATTTGGAAATTATTCCGGGGCTCTACAAGTCTGGCTTATCGACATGTTTTGCTTGCCCAACAGAGCTCTTCGAGGATATCATCCGAATAAACATGTTGCGAGCAGCCGAGGAGTCGCCAACAAATATCCACCAACCAATTACTTCTTTTCGGGATATCTTAGCCCATATTCTGCAATTTTCCTCTCTAGGATGGGTTGCAATGAACTTATGTGGCCAAAATTCAGAAACGCCATCAGATATTCAGGCCACTGAGTCTATAATGTCGGGTTGGCTCAGCATTTCCGAAATATACCACGCTGCAGTAACCATTTACTGTCTTAGTTCTCTCGCCCCCTTACCTGAGTTTACAGAAAACATCGCTTCGTTTTCTCAGGCTAGAAATGTATCATACAGTTCAATAAAGATCCACCTGATCAAGATATTATCAGCAACAAATGGAATGACACATATGAGAAAGCTCTTATTATGGCCTCTTGTCATTGCCGGAATCGAAACAGGGAGCGATGATAGCAACTTTAGAGTGTTCATTACCACACAACTGACCCTGATGAGCTCGGAGCTGGGGACTTTTGCCCCTATTGAAGCGAGGCAATTTCTAGAGTCACATTGGACGTCTCTGGACAACTGTCCATTGTCACAAGCAAAGCCGTGGGATTTAATGTTTCACAAGCATTTTGTTTTCGTTCTTTAAACCACAACTGCCACAACTGGAAGCATCAATTGCTACACCGTCCAACACGCATTGGATTCTACGTGGTGTCTTCGACAAAAACGATCGGATTGTGTTTGATCCAGATATCCTATTTGCAACTGGCTGTATTTGAAGTCTGAGGAAGCTGCGATGGAGTCTCTGCTTGGTAATGATTCCTTCCTTATATATTGGTTGAAAGATCTGAGGAAGCTGCGATATAGTTTTTCTTGGTAATCGTTCTTGCCACATATAGGGCTTAGAAGTGTTAAGGAAGCTGCGATGAAACCTTCATTGATAATCGTTCCTGCCATATATAATATCTTCAGGTTCTGAGGAAGCTACGACTAAGTCTTTGCTTAGAAATCGTACCTTCCATATATAGGGGCTAAATGCTCTGAGGAAGCCACGATGAAGCTTTGCGTGGTAATCGTTCTTTCCATATATAGCACCTGGATGTTCCGAGGGACCTATGATGAAGCATGGTTTGAATTCTCATGTATGTCAACAGCCATTAACAATTAATAGGTATGTAGCACAACAAACAATCTCTTGCTACAACAAAAACATCCACCGTCCGTCTCTAACTCACAGGCGAAACAACAAAACTACCACCACCGCTTCCCATCTCGAACAACATTGGTTCCACAATGCACCTCCCCGCCCCACGTATGGTGTGAATTCCAGTTATCAACAAAACTTACTTGATATCCAAGCTTGCGATAAATCGTTTGCACAGCGGAAGCAAGGATATCCACCCCATCAATAACTGGGCCCCAAGGCGTTGGCGCCAATATATCGCCATGATTCAACGCAAGCCCATTAATAGGATTGGGGTACAGTGAGACTCCCAACGTGGTGCTGGCGTTCCGCTCCGGGCCAATACCATTGTCAGGAGCGAAGGCGAGGCCAGTGCGAAACATTACAGGCATGCGAATGATCTCCGCGTCTGTAATACCAGTCTCGGCCTTTAGGATTCGGATGTTTCGTTGCATGCATGCAGCGATGGCAGTGTTGGCCTTTAGAATACCATCCCAAGCTAGGACCTCCGAAATGGAATCGTCAGGGACGCCATGCAAACCGCCAGGAATCATGAATAGATCAGTCGGATTCCCTACAGTGTCGTTTTCGCGAGAAAATGCGCGCGTATCGCCATGGCCATGCTTCACGGCATTCTGGAGCATTTCCACTCCTGAAATAGGGTCGGCAACCAGCATGACCCAGCCGCGGCGACTATTGACAGGCAAGAACTGGACGATTTCATCGACATGGCCGATAGCGAGGCAGTCGGTATCGAGAAGAAGCGGATCCTGCACCTGCTGGGCACGGAGGTAGTCCATAATGAAAGGCGTGGTGGTATTATGAGCGCCCATGATTATACGTCCCGCACGATATCGTTTGCCGCGAAACTCGTACGGTGGAATTGTCTCAAGATTGCCCATAGCGTTGATATCGTTCCGTTCGCCGCCGAGGTGCTGCACAGCTCCCACACCCGATTTGCGGAGGTACTCGAAGACTTGACGGCCCGCAACACGTTCGTCTTGTGCGGAGCGGATCATAATATGCAGGACGATGGGTCCATTGGGTCCAGGCATGCTGGTATACCCAGGCTCAACAAAGTCTTGGGCCCAGATATCATCGGAGCCGTGGAATTGAGTTAATGGGTACCTTCCCCTGGTCTTATCGAGGGCATTTTGCAGTCTATCCACAAACCACCCTTGGAAGAAGTTCGCGCCTTCAGAGTAATTTCCAGCCGTGGTAAAAACCTCACGCGCAGCTTGGGCGTGATGATGTGTTAATACTGGCGCAACTCGCAGACTCACCGTGTCTTTTGCGGTAGATCGGCCATCATGTACGGTGAAGGTGACGGCAACTCTACCATCCCAAACGCCAGGACGACGAGTATCTCGAGCATCGATTCCGAGCTTCAATCCTGCGGCAAGCTCATGCTGAGAGAACACATGCTCGTTGCCTGTGGTAATCCATTGGGATCCCTCGAGGCGAAATATGCGAACCTTCGAGCGACTATTTGGGTCTTGTATCGTTATGGTCCCAGATGCCTTCGGATTTGGCTTTGGAATGGGAACCGTACGTAGTGGTGCCAAGTATTGAGGTGCCCTCTGAATGTCATCAGAAGCGTCGTTACAAGCTGCAAGCTCCTCATTTGATAGGGCGGGTCCTGAAAGCGCCAACTTCGAACAGCGACGGTCCGTATCGCCAATGTTGGCGAGAAAGATTGCGCCGGCATCGTTGGAGTCGCTCAATTTATCGGGCAAGTCAGACCTTCCGTGGATATCGACTATGCCATCTCGGTTGGAATCTGCCCTGATGTCGGCTTTGAGAGCAACTGAAAGGCCGCAAGTTGCTATATTCCTATTAGATGCAATTCGGGAAGTATTAGATGGTCATACCAATAATCAGCAGGGAAAGGAGTCCTCCCGCCATTTTTTTCTGTTGAATATAATTGTTATAGAGCAAAATCTGAATGAATAACTTGAATATCATGACTATCAAGCCCCTTTTATGCCCATTACTCCCACCCAAACCCCCAAAGGCCCTTTCGACTCATCTCCACACATTTCAGCCCAGCTACCGAAAATGAGACACGACCATTGAAGTCCAAAATGTGGCGTTCAATCGCATAGCTATCCGGCCCTCAACTGAAAGCCTACAAGGCTCATTTTTAGCGTGTCGAAACGGAACGGGAAACAAAGATGGCCAAGACTGTGGAGCCACATGGTTATGCCAAGAGTGATCGACGGGCGTGTGCGGGCGGTTGAGTCTTGGCCAACATCCTTACCGTATTCGGTAAAAGATCGTCTCGTCCACCGCGTCATAATCTGACAGTCGAGATGAACTTACTCTCTTCTCCAATTATACCACGTTGACATATCAGCCCGAAGTTAAATATCACAGCCCTGTGGACTGTGAAGTATTCAGGTAGGCTGTGTCTTTAAGTTGGTGATTTCAAGTTAAATATTAAAGCAAAGACGCTTGAACAAGTCTCATTATCATCGTGTTTCCTGTGTTCCCAAAAAGCTGTTGCTATCACTAACTTGAAAACCCAACTTCCTCTCACTCACCTCACATTTTTCTTAAATCACTGCCTCAAAACGCCATCTGCAATGTCCCAACCACTTGTTTTCATCCTCGAAGGCTTATCCAAAGGTTCCAACGCCACAGTATCTTCCCAGAATCTCCAAGGCGTCAAGACCCCATTCTATGCCATCCAACCGTCCCCAAACAAAAAGTCCAACCTCGCCATCACCCGTGCGTCTCCAGACGCTTCTCAAGTTGGAACTATACAATTCCACACACTATCCTCGAAAATAGAACTCGTCCTTCAATACGAAACAGTCTCCATGCGCCACGATGAACTTACAGGGAGCCGACATGAATTCACTAGCCCTACCGTTAGGGGTGATAAGCTCTCATGGAAGGAAGATAGCCTCTTTGGCCACGGATTTAAACTCGTGAGCCCAGATGGACAACTACTGGCACGTTTTCGACGCACAGATAAATCAGCTGGGACGGGTTGCTTTGAGGTTTTTATCACGGCTGAGGGGGGATTGCTGGATCTTATCCTTTTGAGCGGAATCGCGGCAGCTGAGTATCGGAGGAGATCAAATATCGAACTTGCTTCTGTTGGGGACATTTTGGGACAGCTATTGTAGCTTTGTTTGGGAATTATTGGCCGGCGAAACTCGTCGGGAGATTGAATAACTGGGAACTGCGAGAGGTCGTACGGGAACTGTAAAGAGATTCGTCACTCGAAATGATTTTAATCTTTACATTAGACACTTATTTGGCTCATTGCTCCATTTAGGAACTTTATCTTCATCCTTGCATCTTCGACCTTGTATCTCGAAAGCGAGCGCTGCATTTTGCCGGATTTGGAAGCGGTAGTGGCTGTTCCGCTTCGATCGTGGTTGGTCAGTGCGCTGGATGTTATATCACCTCCCTCAATCTTAATCTGACATCAATGAATGATAGTTCTTCGATAAACACTGCACTGGACCTCGACTCATATAGCTTTTATAGTTACAAACTGGAAAAATGGACCTGTCGTCCAGTTTCTCTAAGCTCTCACTGTCATGCGCTTGCCTCGTATCTGCGTACCTCATAAAGCTTTCCTGGACGCCACCAAACCCAGTTGCAAAGGATACATTTATCCCCACCATAAAATACTCACGGAAGACTCTTGTTAGATTTTGGCGCGTTTTCATGCTCTTTCGCTACACAGACATCGCCTGCTGTATATTCCACAGCATTCTGATTCTGTTGTACCCGTCGCCGCCAAGACGTATCTGCCCGAACGCTGACAACCTCTCACCATCTCTCTTCACCTGGTCTCCATACAGCACTCTCTGCCTCGGTACGATCATTATATTTTGTTCAATGAGGCTTCTTGCATTCAAAGAGCTGGGGAAGGATTTCACTTTCCACCTGACAAAGCCGAAGCGTCTGAATACCTCTGGTTTGTACTCGGTTGTTCAGCATCCATCTTACACGGGAGTTGTTCTATCAAACGCAGCAAACATAATGTTTCTGTATCGACTTGACGGAATTTCGGCGTGCTTCTTGCCTGGGTGGATTGTGGGACAGGCATGGTGGGCAAATTGGACTCTGTTTTTCGTCACGGCTATGATCAGTGCATATGGGACGAGGATAAGAGTTAAAAAGGAGGAGGAAATGCTGAAGCAAACTTTTGGACGGGAATGGGAAGAATGGCATGCAAAAACAAAGCGGTTCATTCCGGGTGTCTTTTGAAAGGAAGCCAAACACCTGGCTACAATTAACGAATGGGTATCTGCTAATTTGAATGGGGTGTTTTGGAAAGATTATTTAGTCGCTGAGATCTAACATGAGTTTTGATCTCCTCTCATATACAACTCTGGGTATTCGATTCTAAGTTTTAATCTAACTGTGAATTTGCTGAGGCGTCAGGACTGTATTTCAGCCGTCCAGGAAGGAACGTCTTGTTACATATGCTGGTCGTTCCTTCCCAAAGCTACCAGGGCAACCACAAATTACCATGATATGGTTTCAATGGTCTCAATTTCCTACCTGCTACCCTCCAACAATGTTTCATCAGTTACTGCCGCTGATTTTCGATACCTAGAAACCATCCCATTGGGGGCAAATGAGCGACTCCACGCCGAAAGACCTCTCATTTCCTCATTATACTTTGGAAGATACTCCGTCCACGCGCAGCACACTTAGCATTGAATCCTCCGCCAATCCAAGCACTGTTTCCTCAAGTCTTCGCCAGAAAAGCTCCCCCTTGATTACGGGCCCCGTGAAGGACTTTCAACAAGCCAGGTTTTCTTTGGCCAGTTCTCTCGCAGCGAGCCATTCCCAGATCAACACACCTCTGGCTGATCCTCCTGAGCTTGTCTTCCCGCGAGTCACACTGCCAGGGCATATTTCTCTACCGCGTAGCCCTCTGGAACCTACGCTTCGAAAACTCATCTTCTCACGAGGCAACCCTCTATCAACCGACCTATTCGAGATCGACACCCCGGAACCAAGCGCGCGACAAATGACATCTTACACAAACCAACACCTTCATCTGCCACTTCCTGGAGATTTGCACTCGATATTCTTCCGTGCCTTCCATTCTCCATGGTCTGGCATTGGGCGGCGACTGGCGCTGGCTATTCGTGGCTTCATATCACTATATATGACGGTCACTTTTATTATGGTCGTGGCGTGGCAGGCAAGAACCGAGGCGTCAGTGTCAATGGTGTTGTTCAAATTTGAGACGATCAGTTTTTTCTGGCAAGTGGCGTATTCTTGGATAACGTTTGTAAGTTTGCCATGGGCTATTTAATCATAGCGTGCGATCATCTATAGGCAGGATGCCTATTGTTTTGAATGGCTCCAATAGATAATTGATTATGATCGAGAGCTAATCCTTCGAATAGACCTGGGCCCTGGTGCACCTCGTTCCTCTGTGCCAGTCCGGCACAGACGATCATGGTTTCATGGACAGCCTGAAGATTGCGTTTCGATATCCCTTAACAGACCAGTGGCGCCAACTGTTTAGTATTATTTATACCGGAGCAGTATCCCTCCCGAATGTCGTTGCTCTGGTCTACTGGACCATCGTGGTTCCCCATGATGTAGTTGATGGTATGTCGACATCGTAATACTGATAGAATGGGGGCCGGCTACTGATATGTCCTGCAGTGGGAGACCTCTTCAATAACGGCGACCTCCAATCATTCTGCGTCCTCAACTTGTACTTCATATCGCTGGTCGTTGCTCTCATCGAGATTTTCTTTTTATCCAGTATAAAGCCCCCGGGGGTATGTTCTTCCATATTCCAAGATTTTGTCTCTGTGTTCCCGTAAAATTAGATCTACTTACTATAACTGACTCTTCCAACAGCCTTTCTTTGTCCATATCCTCTGGTTCTCAGCCATTGGAGTTGCATACTACGTCTGGGCCTTTCTTGGCCACATTGTGACGGGAAATTACGTATATTTCTTCCTGGACCCCGAACAAATCGGGGAAGAGAATGTTGTCGTTGGATTGATTGCATTTGTCGCCCTGCTGAACATCTGTAAGTTTTTACACTTCAAGAATGGGTTTACGAGAACTAATGAGATAGTTTATGGTGTTGCATACGGCATGTCTGGTGCTCGCGATGCGATTACAGGTCCTTTGGAAATTCTTGGAACATTGCAATTGCCCACGTAAATACTTTCTGAATAGTCTTCAGTATTTGGTGCGGTTGGTTTATAGTGGTCTTTGAGAAGTGTCCCGTGACAGTTGGTTGAAATGAGATGATGGCTTCACTGTGAGTATCAAATGGCTTTCGGGCCAGGAGAGGCCGTTCTCAGTAACTGAGAGATTGTAAATCCATAACAAATGAATATTATTATTTCTCGACGAATTTGTATTTGTTTTGATATTTTGGATATGAGAATAGTTCCGTTAGCTCCGAAGCTGGGAAAGAAATATGGTAAATAAAACAAATAAATGTACGAAATAGGGTCTGTAATTGTGATATATTGTGACAAAAATAACAGTACAGTCGGATAATTGTACTGTTCGAATATGTGAGCGGCGGTTTGTTTTGTTTACTTCAACTGTGTTTGGTTTGGGCAGTCGCAACACGCTTTGAGACGTGGACTTGCTTGACAAACCCAGGATTGATATCTGAGTTGACACACAACAACGCCTCTTAGATTCTTAGCCCACCCTATTTTTCTGAGTTTGCTAGCAATATCCATTTATTGTGTGATTATCAAAGATAAATAAAGATTACTAGGTATTGTTTGTTTGGTATTCGCCGACAACAATATGTCTGTTCAACATTTGGCTACGCGCCTCAGGATCACTCCCCAGATCCTTGAAAGTATTATTCATGCTCTACCGCGTAATGATTTGACTCGGCAAGAGTTAAATGATTTTATGAGGCGATTCAAAAAGTTCAGCACAGATATCTCCAAGGTGACGCCGAGAACCTGAATATCAATACTACCACAGCGAAGAATCCAGAACAAGGGTGCAGTGCAGAGCCAAATATAAATCACCCGAACAAACCTGCTCCAGGCGAAGAAGGTCATTGGAAGAAAGGAGAATGGTCACAGAAATACAAAGCGATACTTGTCAGTCCCCATGATCGCAACCCTCATTTACTGTTTGTTATCTAGTCCTAACTAATCCCCAAAGGACAAAACGACTGTTCCCGTCGAAAACCTCCGAAACTACCTTGGAGAATCATTGGAGCAGATTGATGCCCTGATCTTCAAAACGCTTCCTGACATCATCGCAAAACGGTCACTCAAAAGATTTGGCGAGGATATTTGCTGGATGACCGCTAAATACTTTGGGGATCCCACTAATGATAAAGAATTTGATCGACTGGTCAACAAAATGAAGACAAGGAGCGGACGGAGGACAAGGAAACGAGAAAGGGCCCTGCTGAAGGAAAAAAACATGCAGAATAGGACGGTGGGGAATGCCGGGGCCGAACCAGCTGAAGAAGGGGTTGGCAGAGAGACAGAGGGAGATGGCGTGGGTCGAATGCCAGGCAACGAGCTAACTAAAGAAGACAGTAGTGTTCAAGCTCATGAGGAAGGAACGACCCATCTTCATGATCACATGGTTTTGCAAACTTTTGGCCCTGGCCAGCATTTCCCCACCAGCGATGACCATTTGGCAAAAAACCTCTAGAACCCCAAACTGCGACAAGACAAAACTCTATCTCTGGAATCAACACCCAAGCCTTTACTATCAAATCGAATAACAGTTATTTGCAAGACTCGGTTGTCGGCAGACCGACAAGTGAGTCGCCGTTGCAACGGAGAGGTGAGGCACCGCATCATCAAAGTCTGTCAGTGCGAGAAAACCCACAGACAGAACTGGCGCCAACAGACATAGTGCCAGATAGACTAGTGGAAGAACACTCGAATACCATCGTGGATCAAAGCAGAGGTCATAAAAACGACCTCCAGATCAGGATAAAGGTGGAAGAGCCGCCAACACCAGCATCGTTGCTGAAACGTACGCCTCAGCATTTGGCATTTAACCACAACACTATGGCTTCCCTGGGCGATCAACAACATGGCCCAATTTATCTCGCGGATGTAACTTGTGCAGAAAAGAGAAAACGCGATGAACTAGACACCGAAGACAGAGAAGCCAAGTTTCCAAAAATTGCCGACAAAGCAGGAGACATTGGCGAAGTCTGTAAGCAGATGGATTCAGATTATGAACCAGCAGAATCTGACCAGATTGAAGAACTGGAGCGCACGATTGAATCAGTGGAGAGACCCCCCCAATTGAGCCTCGAGGAGAGAGTACAGAAGAAAAGCACTGGACAGAAACCAAAGTCCGGATGGCCCCTCAATGCGGAATCGGGACCATACATTTCAGCAATGGACTTGCGTAGTTCTCCTGTTCTTTCTAAATTCGGAAAGCAGAATCCCCCGCAGGAAAGAATATGTCCGGAGCCGCTGTTAAACGAGCGACGTCCAATAGAGCCACAGGACCACCCCGAGGAGGACAAACCATTTTTCGGAAGCTCTTTTCATCATATGCGGTCGATATCAGACGCTGATGATATGGACACCTCAAAAAAATCTGTTGCTGGTACTACAGCGGATTCGCAAATCCAAATGACGCGTAGGAGGCAGCGCAAGATCGCATGGGACGAGAGAAAAAAGTTTCTGAAGCAAGCCAAAGTCCTGAAACGAATTACTAAGGACTTGGAAACAGTATCGGAGACAACTATTTCAAAGGTAGCGGATACTTCGAGCCAGCTGATAGAACCTTTATCAGTAAAGGCGGGCAACACAGCCGAAAATCAGATTCTGTGTTCCGATGGCGAACTCAGACCTCGTGGCGACGAAGACGAGGAGGTGCTCGTTTTCGTGGGTTGGGAACAAGCTGCGCAGAGCAAACTCGGTAATAACGGCCTCTTCAATCCGGTTCAGCTTTACAGCAAGTTCTTACAATTGGAAATCGACGATAATAGGTTTGGAAATAGAAATATGAGAAGCGACGAGGCCGCGATGCTTGTCTACGTCATAATGGGAATCGGAAGTCCATGCGCGATTGCCCAATTTGGAAAAATTTCAACGGCTATGAGAGAGGAGTTGGAAGTGGCTATGGAATTTCTTCCAGGACACCAAAGCTACGGCAGAGCTGCGCTGAGGCTGACTCTTGGGCCGGATGAAGGTCCATTTAGACCATTTGCGGAATCAGTTCTTGCGCTCGAGTTTTATCGGTTCCTGCAAAACGAGAGGACATCACATGGCAAGATGCTCCCACTCACAGCCAGGGGCTTCGATTTCACGAAGATTCAGGAGCTAGAAATAAACTTGCCGGCAAGGCGTGGCCGAGGTGCCAATTTGCAAGCACTGCAACGGATCGGATATCGTCTCTCGAAGCTGGCTTCAATTTACGGCGATGGCATCTTGGCATTGATACCATCTTCAGGCTGTTTCGGGGATTGCCTCAATGTACTCGCAAATATGGATGAGGCTGCGTTCAAGATGTTCCAACAACATATGGACAAGAATCGTGACCAATTCCTCTTGAAAGTAAGCACGCCTCTGGAGCCCTATGTGCAAGAGGGAATGTGGGATACGCTTACCCTTCCGAAGCTGAGGCTGGAGGTCGAGGAGGGATTTGATGAGTTGGCTGTGAGAGACAGATCTGATCAGTTGGCATTGATGTGCTTGCCATCATGGGTATGCATACAACTTGATCACGGGCGCGTCTTCAGTCGCAGGAATACTCTTCAGCCTGCACACTGCACAACAGAAACAGGTCATGTATAAAAACAACAGTCTTGTTATTCCAGCGCAAACAGATGCATCAATGCCAAGAAAATATCCACATCAGAACGCTAACACTAAATACAAAATATTTATAAGCCAATGTAGTCACCCGTGAACATCCCTATTTACATGTGAACAACCTCAACCCCCCCTTCTATGTTTCAGCGCCAGGTGTTGCTAACAGTTACACTCTTCTCGCAAGTCTTCGGAACCGTGAATGAGCGATTGGGGTCAGATTCCCAGTTCACAGCCCCAGAGCTCTGAACGTTGATAAATTTGTACTGGAATGTCGTCCCGGCCGCCAGAGTTACCGTCGTGGACCATAATGGATTGGCATTTGTGTATTTCGATGCTGACAAGGCAATGGCGCTGCTGGTACTCCAGCTCCCCAGCTCAGAAATGGATCCTACGACTTTGATGGTCTGGCCATAAATTGTAGTGACAACCTCGTTGAAAGTGACATCGACGCTCGAAGCAATGGCACAGGTTGTGCTTGTTGGGCTCGTAGTGCTGGTGCCTACCGATGTGGCTGCCGTGCTCGTGCCAGTCGGCTGCACGCTCGATGACTGGCTTCCTCCAGATCCATTGATGGCAATGTCAGCGCAGGTTAAGTAGACCTGGCCGGTTTGGAACGAGTTCCAGCGCAGGGACAGCAGCGTGTGGGCCGAGTTGATGTTTGGGATCTTGACCCTCTTGGTCACGGTGTAACCGCCGGCGATGGAAGTATAGCATGAGTTCAGCGGCGCGTTGTCGACACCCTTGCACTTGGTCTGGTCGCCGGCGCTGAAGCCGTTGCAGGTGAACCAGTCATTGCGGTAGCATGATTGGCCGGGCGAGCAGTCGGGGTTGTATCCACAGGACTGGCCACTGACGTCGGTGCAGTCTAGCGTGCCGGCCTGGAAGCAGTCTTCTGCGGCCTGCTTTTCCGCATTAGTGGGAAGGTAGCCGGGGGTCAAGAGCTTGTCGACGAGGGCTTGGTCTTCGCAGATGCGGTAGCTGAACATGCCACCGTGGTCACCGTTGTTGTCAACGCACCACTGCACTTCAACGATATCTCCCGCATTGTAGGTTACTACGGGAGAGTTGCCCCAGTTGGCCGTGGGCTGGTTATAGTCTATGCTGACGCGAGCATTGTAACCGCAGGGACCGCTCCGTCCTACTGCTGCGGCGGTGAGATCAGGCCAGGCAGCAACGGGCTCAAGGATAGTGCATTCGGGACATGAGTCCAGGTTTGCCTGAGTTGAAATATTAGCGACTACTCTCCAGCACGGACGGAAGATCGGTGCGGTGATCTATTTGTTACCCACCTTTACTCCAAGACTGGTTCGGCTCTGAGGAGTGATCAGGTAGCCATGTCCGTGGACGAAGGTGGCCAAACTGAGGGCTGTCAAGGCAGATAGCGTCTTCATTTTTGACAATTTTAGCGATCAGGTTCGCGAGTCGAATTAGGTGGCGATGGATAAAACAGTCTGGAATGTCTGGATCTTCAAGGCAGGTTACCATATGGGAGAGTTCCCCCCATTTTATAACCTTCGCCATGTCGAAACATGAGCCGTGGTTGCGGGCTCATAACGTGCTTCATCATGCGAAAGAGTCTACAATGCGCCGATGATCTATAGGCCCTATAGTATAAGGCCGAAACATAGAGCCGCTGGCCTTGAGTTGGAAAAATCAGCCGCGTTGGCCACAGAACTTCAGATACCGTGATGTTGTCTGCCGTCTCAGGGCTTGGGAGGCGCCGAGAAGCGTCCGCATAGATTGGATGAAACGCGGCGTTCTCGTTTGTAATGGATACCGAGGACCTTATTATGACGGTCTCGCACCTATCAAATCGCGGGGTTGGATATGCGGGGAACTTTGATCCGACCAGGGGTTATCGTGGCGTTTTTTTACCGCCAACACCAAACATCACCAACATGTGACGAGATATCTTAGGTTGTAGGGTTATTATTCGATCGCCGGTTTAATATACTCTAGACGGTGTTCTTAGTCCGATGTAGGCCCGATATAGACCTTACGCTGGACCAATGAATTATCTAATCCACCAACAATAACCTTTTAGACTCGATGGAGATCCGCAAGTTGCCCTGACACTATATTTTGAGGCCGTCTTTTCAAAGAGAATAAGGAGATGTTGCGGGGAAGTGGGACACAGACCACCCCACGATCAAGACGGCCCGAACCAGACACGAGAAAATCCACAAAAAATCATAATGTGGCTTGGAATCAGACTTTATTGCCGACCGATGATGAGCCGAAGTACGCGTTCCTTGAATGTTAGCTCAAGCCACAGTGCGGCACAAAACCTATTCTCATTAGCCCAAAGACCAGATCGAGAGTAGTCAGTTCTTGGATATCGATTCTAAGCAACTTTACACGAACAACTTTAGACTAGAATATTGAGGCTGTAAAAGGGCCGCAACCTCAGTCAGATCGGCGTCGATATTTGACTTGTGACATGGTTCAATAAGCCAAAGACTGTCAATCCCAGACGATGCCATGAGGCCGAGCCGAGAGCCGGAGTCAACTATGAGAGATTAACCCTCAGCTTACTACTTTAAGACAGCGCCGCCAGCGGCATACGTTGAGAGACGGGCCAGCTTCCCTCGGTCAAATCCTCGTATTCGCAACTCGCCTCTTTAAATCCTCGCATCCGAACTCGCGTTGCCTTTAAAAAAGGATGAAGGATATTTAATGAAGCCATTGCAAGAATATTCTCGAGCAAGCCACGATAACCTCAACACCGCCAGAAGTATGGAATAGCGGACCTGTGAGGGAATATTTATTTACAACAGAAAGCTTTTCATATCAGTCCCTAAGATTTTCTTGATAATTTCCCTCTGGCGAGAATATTCATCGAACAGAAGTTATGGCAATGTTAACGTTCCCGAAGCATGGAGTAAGAGGCCGCTGAGTGGATATTTCTTTACAACAGATTTTTTTCGAATCAACTGTTGAGACTTTCTTAAAAGTTACTCAAGGGCAAGAATATTCAGACGGGAAGCCGCAGCTACGTCGACAGCATCTACAATATGAATAGCGGACCTTTGAGAGAATATTTATTTACAACAAAAAAAAATCGTATTAGCTGCTGACTGTTTATTGGCAGCTGCCTCGTTGCACTATATTCTATGTATGCATTACTGAATGTGGACAGAACGAAGGCCAAGCGTTAGAGCCGTTCATTTCGTGATATTATAGCCGCCAGCTTCGGCCCGATGCAAACGGCAATGCTGAACATTCAAGGAACCACGACAACTTGGTAGCCTTGTCACGTTATTGTCTATAATTTGTCTTGGCATTTATCCACGTGTTCTCTGCTTCATAATGTGTGTTCTATGCTCGCTCTATGATTCCTTTGGTGTTGGAATCACCGGGCCGGACGGGTATTTCCCAGACTGCCCAAAGAAGAGGATCGGCAGAAGGTTTTTCCATTATTATCGTGTACTAAAACTAATTATGGGGCAATCACTTAAATGCGGGGGTGGCGTGTCTTGGCAGCTAAAGCGTCAACTGCCGGACATCTCCCATCTTCAGTTGCGACTCGCTGCGCTTAAATAGGCTGAGGCGCTTTAGAAGTTCCATGCATATATTATACTGTATTTGAAGACAACGATCTCCTCCAAGAATTACGGCGTCTATGGATGAAGCATTGGCGACCTCTCAGAAGAGAGAATCCAACAAAGCTGCCCCGCTATACTATATTATACCCCGCTAAGATAAGCGGCCCGGCAGGGACCGGCAATGAATATGAAACTACGCCTCCGCCCAATACGTGAATTACTACGCAATGCTAGATCTCTCTCAATCTTCTTTTGCTCATCATTGCTTAATTAGTATTATGGCTCACAGTCCTCCCATGATATCCTCAGATTGCGGCTCTAGGGCCGCCAAACCGTGGGGATATCCACTGGCTATCGCTGGCAGATTCCTGTTCCTAGCCCCTTGTGACCTTGGATTTGTTCCAAATCCTAACAAGGTTCATGCTTCCATGCATGCTTCCATACATTGTTAAATAAAATAAGTCGGATTATCCAGACGGAGAGCTCGTCCTCCGGCCAAGTATAAGAACCTTATCCTCTTCCTCCTGTGGAAGCCTTCTTCGTCCTTGCCAGCCAACCCATCACCTTCTCTAGATACACCGCAGACATGATTCGCACACTCCCCTTCGCTGCTGCCCTCGTCGGCCTTGTTGCCGCCCAAAACCCGGGAACCAACCCTGAAGTCCACCCCAAGCTCGAGACCTGGAAGTGCACAGTGGCCGGTGGTTGCGTGTCTGCCAACACCGCTGTTGTCATCGACTCCGGGGCCCACTCAATCCATCTGCCAGATAGCACCGCTGCGTGCAGCGGTACAAACTGTGTCATTGAGGGCATCGATGACTACGCAAGCCATGGTGTCACTACCGAGGGCGGCGCCCTCAACTTGTTGCAGTTACTTAACGGGCAGTCAGTTAGCCCTCGCGTCTACCTCTTGGAGGAGACCGAGACGAACTACGAGATGCTTCAGTTGACTGGCCAGGAGCTCTCCTTTGATGTTGATGTGTCAAAGCTGCCTTGCGGCATGAACGGTGCTCTCTACCTCTCTGAGATGGGAGCCAATGGCGGCCAGAGTGAGGCCAACCCCGCCGGAGCCCCATACGGCACCGGCTACTGCGACGCTCAATGCTACACCCAAACTTTCATTGACGGCGAGGTAAGCGCCCCAACCTGATAGTCTGAAATATACCCACTAACACCCTGCAGGCCAACCCCGAGGGACACGGCTCATGCTGCAATGAAATGGACATCTGGGAAGCCAACAACGCAGCTACCGCCTACGCCCCCCACCCCTGCAGCGTCGATGGTGTCTACGCCTGCACGGGTGCGGAATGCGAGTCCGCCGGCGTCTGTGACAAGAACGGCTGCGGCTACAACAACTACGCCCTCGGCAACAGCACCTTCTACGGCCCCGGTCTGATCGTCGACACCTCCCGCCCCTTCACCGTCGTCACGCAGTTCCCAGCGACTAACGGCATTCTCACTGAGATCCGCCGTTTGTATGTCCAGGATGGGAAGGTCATCCAGAACGCACCGATTAATATTGAGGGTCCGGCACCCGGAGACAGCATGACTGACGAGTTCTGCGTTGCTACCGACGCGACGGCATTTAACCGCCTCAATGGTCTCGAGGGTATGGGCGGCGCGCTGTCGAGGGGTATGGTTCTCATTTTCAGCGTGTGGTGGGATACTAGCGGATTCATGAACTGGCTGGATAGCGGCAATGCAGGGCCATGCAGCGCCACCGAGGGTAACCCAACGGAGATCGTTAAGGTGGAGCCAAACCCAGCTGTGACCTTCAGCAATGTCAAGTGGGGTGAGATCGGATCTACGTTCTCTGAGGGTAACTAAGAGATTGGTATGGAGAGTAGATGGGAAGTGGGGCTTGTACATAGAAAAGAATTTGTTCCCCAAATATTTGCGAGATGTTGCCATTGGTTTTGAGAGCCTATATGTAAGTGGAACTATCCCCTATATATTGTGACACCTAAATCCCAGCCTTTACTCAATCGATAATGCACCGCTTTAATGACAACCAAATCCTCTTAAGCAGACTCTGACTTGAGAGCCTTAATCTCAATATCCACGATCTCCTCCAAACTCTCCTTCAGCGATGGAGCCACAGGACTCCATCCCAGGGCCCGTAGCCTCTGCGCCCTACTCCGAGCGTTCCCGCCCCATAATATAGGCGCCCATGGATGCACCGCCGCTGCGTCTTGAACCGTTAACTGCTCTACCTCGGCCTCTACCTTGATCCCGCGCTCAGCGACCACGGCCGCAATATCGCGTCCGACCTGGGCCCATGAGTGCTCCCCAGCTTCGACAAAGTAGTAGCCTTCAGCACCCCAGGTTGCTGCCCCTCCAGCTGGCTTCAATGCTTCTTCGACGAGGAGGCCAAAGGCAGCGGAGAGATCGGAGATGTGAATGTCTGGGCTAAGTGTTAGTTCGTACTTTTTAGGTTTGGGGCGGGAAGGCTTACGGTCCCAGATGTTGTTACCAGCGCCGACAGCAAAAGGGCGGCCACGCCTAAGGGTTTGTTCAGCCAGGACAGGAACTTGAACGCTACGGTTGTTGATGGGCCCCTTTCCAATACCGTAGATAACGCAGGGCGCCACAATAGCCGTGGAGATGCCAAGCGTCTCACCCGATGCGATTACAGCGGCGTCGGTGTCGCGGTGGATATGTGTGCTGTCAAATGATGTGATCTCGAGGATGTCGGCAACGTCATGGTAGATCTTGGATGATGGGTTCCCAAACCCATTGGTGACATCATGGAGAATCCCGGTGCCGGAGATATGGATATAGCGACCTTTCTTTCCATGAGATAGACCCTCAATGAGCGCCTTGGCTGCCGGGGTATGGTCTGAAGATGCCAATTCTGAATATATGTAAGTTTTTGTGTCGTGAAAGACTGTAAGCCAGAGGATTCATGACATACGCAGAACTACGTCTGCCCTCTTGCCTTGCTCGACTAGAAGATCAAGGTTATCTAGGTCTCCAAGGATGGTCTCGACAGTCGGCCAAGTTGCCTTTATTATCTCGGCTTGCTTTTCGGTGCGGACGAGAGTAATAATTTGATATTCAGAGTGCTTCTTAATTAAGTCGGTGACAATGTGACCGCCAATGTAGCCCGAAACGCCTGTGACGAAAATGGTTGGAGACATTATGATATGGTTGTAACAATCGAGTCTTGATGTGATAAGTGCTGGGATTTGTATTCTCAAATCTCTGAGTGAGTTGGAATTTCAAAGAATAAAAAGAGAATATCAAATCGCCTTATATAGTTGAAGGGGTTCAAGCATATTCTCATTAAAAGACGATTCGTAAAAAGTCGTATGGACAGATGCTTTGTAATCACCGCGAAGAGTCCCAATGCATTTGACGTATTGAAATTCCCTTGGCGTTGATATTTAACAAGTATCTTGGTATAGCACATTAGCGGACGAAAGTTGGCCCGACGGTGTGAAGTTACCCCGTTTAAACTTGTCCTATGAAGAACCCAATATCTTAACTATATGACATTATAGCTAACCCCGATAAATTGATTGGATATAAAATGGCAGATTCTGCGATTGGCTGGTTTTACCAGGCAGGCTGGTAACGATATCGAAGCGCCAATTTGCATACTCGCCGTCGCCGAGGGTGCTAGTGCTGCCAATTCCTACTGCATGGGTCGAGTTTACTCATTTCAATACCACAGTTGCAGTTAGTCATATCACGACGGCTTCATTATACCCCGACAGATGGATGATAAGCACGGCTGTTTTTCTGACTCATAGAAGCGTTGGGGCTAGCAACAGCAAAAGCAACTGAGAGCATATCAGCGGCAATAGAGAGATGGTCAAAGAGAGATGAGAGTATTATATTCCTATGAACTTGTTTAACTATATTAACCCCAACCATGAATCTCCCTCCCAAAAATAAACGCTCCCTAAAATATAACAAAAGAGTGAGAGTATTAGATTGATAGCATCCTCAAAGAACCACATGTCCCAATTTTCTTCGTTCTTCCCCCCTTGTTCTTAGACCGAGCTATTAAACCTCACCACCATCCCTCCATTAGCCGTTCCCTGCATGTCCCCTGATTCCCCCATATCGCCCTCCCTATCAGGATACCTCGAGCCAAAAATCTCATCCATGCCCTTCGCCGTTAAGCCCTTTGTCTCCGGCAAAAACTTAGCCACTAGCGCCGCAGCTAGCAACGTACAAGCAGCAAAGAGGAAGAAGAAAACATTGCCTGAGTTATACGTTCCAGAACTCAGCAACACAGGCGTTAGCCGAGCGACAGCGTATTGCATAATCCATTGCACGGCTGTTGTTATCGACATAGATAGTTCTTTCAGTCGCGGCTGGTAGATCTCGCTGCTGTACACCCATGGTACGCCGTTCCAGGCGAGGGAGAAGGAAACCTGCGGTTGAGCGTTTGCATTTAGTAAGTTGGTAGATGGATGACAGAAAAGAAGGGAAGGAGACGGTAAAGATGACATACTGCGTAGAAGTACACGGCTGCCATAGCGAAATAGCCTGCTATAGACCCAGGTGCGGGTGATCCATGCGTAATGGTTAAGAAGGATCCAATGTAAACGAAGGCCAGCACAATTCCAGTGCTGGAAATAAGGAGAAGAAACTTTCTTCCGAATCTGTCGATGAAGAAGAAAAGGCCCACAAAGGTGCCTGTCGTCTTAGCAATGGCAAAGAAGCCGGAAAGTAAGAGCAGAAAGTTCACGGAGGTGAATCCTATCAGTCGAAAGATAGAGGGGGAGTAGAAATTTACACCGTTGATCCCAGAGGTGTTGGCGCCCACCATTAGCAGACATCCAATGATGAGGCGGTTGATATTTCCGCGCCAGAGAAGCTCGCGGAAGAGGTGAAGAGGGAGGATGGTGTTTATCGAGCGAAATTTTCCGCCAGAAGGTTGCTGAGGAAGAGAGGATGCAACGAGTTCAATCTCTTCCGTGATGTATCGATGTTCGGCTGGCAGACCCCGAATAGAACTCAGGATTATTCTCGCTTTACCAATTTTCCCTCGTTGAATTAGAAATAATGGGGATTCTGGTAGTATGAAAATCACAGCGAGTATCAGTAAGCCAGCGGGGATGACTTGCATCGCAATCGGGATCTGCCACTGGCGATCCGTTCCGGGGTCAACTCCTACGCCGACGAAGTAGTTCGCAAAGAACCCACAGAGAGACGAGAGCTGGTTGTTGATCTCATATAATCCAACAAGCGAGCCGCGGATTGCGGGAGGTGAGAGTTCGGAGATGTACATGGGCACGACGACCGTAATGCAGCCAAGCCCAATTCCACCTATAAAGCGGCCTGCGTACATGTAAGGAAGGCGGCCGGAGGCAAAAACTTGCAGGAGACAGCCAAAGGCGAAGAGACCCGATCCAATAGCCAGAGAGGGGAGGCGGCCAGAAAGGCGGACGAGGGGAAATATTAGCAGCGAGCCGACAAGGGCGCCGAGTTGGAGAAGGGAGACGATTGTGGATGTTATGGTTGCGTATTCGGGGGTTGAGGGAGCTGGCAGAGAAAATGCGGCGTGGAAGGAGGGGAGAATGATCGTGCCGCCTATCACCCCATTGTTGTAGCCAAACATCCAGGAGCCTATTGAACTGTGAGACTTTGTGGGGTAAAGAGGGATTGGGGTCTAGGGCAGAGAAGTAGAGGGATGAATAGATGGCCACTTGGCTAATTCAGTAAACATTAATGAGAGTGGCTCTCGTGGTTAATCCATGTCTTGTGTATTGATTCCTTGGGATAAGTAGAGAAAGGTTTCGCCAAGTATATCATTGTATGGATGCTTCTGGTAGTAAGAATTGAAACGTCTTGTAAAACAAAATAGCACGAGGAACACACCCATTGTAGCACATAGCGCGAGTATATAAATGCGTAGATTATACACCTCCTTCGGCGTAGGCCGATCCTCCTCTGCTCGTCCAAAACCCATGATTTCAATATGCAAAATGGACGTATAATCTTGCACGACTCTTCTTTTTGAGGATCTAGTCTTTTTCTTCTATGAAACTCAACAAATTTACAAGATGCGTCTGACTCGAAACACAGCTAAAAGGAGATTGATTCACAATTGTTTCCATTGGAAAGCCTAGCAGGATCATAGCAACAACGATAATATCAATGAATGAGACAAAAACAATAATAGTAATAGACAACAACAGCAGATCCAGGCCTTTCTATACATGCCAATTATCAGAAAGGTTCATGTCAAAGCATCCGGTATCGTCGTGAAATGCCCCACAGATTTCGCTGTTCCGCCGTTTCTGTCTCCGTATACGGACGCGATGTGGGCACCATCCGGACTTATGTGCTCCGGGGTGTATCATACAATCCTCCCACTCCACCACCCTCTCCAGCCAAATTTCAAGCTTTCATCTTCAACACCATCTAAAATCAAGGCAAAAGAATCGTATACCCTGTCTTTTGCCCTGTAAACAACCATGTATCTCGATCTTTACAGAACTTTTCTTATATATTCTGTAATAGCGCATCTTATGTCTTATGACTGTTAGCCACTAAATACGCTATAACATACGCTACAAGCACTAACTGGGCCGCTATCCGTTATCTCGTCCATAAACCAGACTATACGGTAACACTTTGACCGCCACAGGTGCTCTGCGTGCGGTCCTGTGCTAATTAGGCAGGAGTTGCAAAGAGCCTAGACAGAGTTGCTTGGCAGGAAGTTGGATTGACTGTGTTCATCCTCATTTTCCATGTCGAAATAGTACTTCGGGGTAAGGTTAGAGACGGCCGGATAATTATTGAGCCCCGTGTGTGCAGTGGGATCAGGATGATGGTGGGGGCTGCACTTCCCCACGCCAATCGCATCACGCATCTAATGAAGCATCTGCCATGGTGCTTCATAGGTCGGAATTGTTGGTTATAATGATGGCTCTTCGCTGTTCGTATCGCCTTGCCCTATAAATATCTCGAATACCTCACTGATGATATATCGAAGAAGCTGCGTGTCGCTATTCTGTGGGTTTCCCTTTAGATAGGTGAGAATGAGCATGCATTGTTGGAGGGGCTGCAATTTTCCTGGGAATAGCCAGTGGTATGGGGAAAAGGCCAGTAATCGTGCGAGGTGTAGATAATTTCTCAAGATCTGGCAGCAAAGAGACATTTCGCTGTACACTTTGTTAATAGAGGGCTGGGAGGTATTTATAGGGATTCGCAGATTAAAATTGTACTTGCTCCAGATCACCGAAGTCTGGTGATTGGAGGTTTGGGTTAGAAACTGCCGATTGAAGAATATTAACACGTGGTACTTCTCAAGCCGAGACTGATATCATGGAATGCCTGCGGTATTTTGGTGGTATATAACTCCTCGTTGCTACTGTGCGACAAGCACTTCCTGAAGTAAGCGTGGCTAGCACTTCAAGGTATATAATATGTATGATACCAAACTCGTCGTGCAATCTCACCCTCCACTTCACCATAGGCCATGGTTATCACCTCTTCGCTGTGTAATTCAAGGGATTTTGCTGCTTGCACGCCTCCGAGATAAAATCCGGCGCCATGAGAATCTCGTCCACCTCTGAATCGCACTCACGAGCCAAAATGGAAGCTATGGGGCTATTTAAAGTTGGAAGCTTGGTAAACTTGCATAATGAGAGAGATTGGCCCAGTTTTGTCCGTAGGCGTAAGAGCAAGGCCGGAGTGTGGCGCACATGGATCGAGGCCCTCGCTAACAAAGATGATGAAGCAGCTACAGCTCCGCAGAAAAGCACCGACCAAAGCAAACACAGGAAGGAAGCATCTTCCAATTGTTATTCGGCCAAGTTTAAAGCTCATCGTCATTGTATCGAACCCAAAACGAGTCGTACTCTGCTTGCAGGGTAGGACCGTGGACCAAAGGCAGCAGTGGACGAACGCCGAGCAGGAAAGATTGGATTAAAACATCGCATAGCTTTTTGGAAGGCAGGCTTTGTATACCCCCAGGTTCTCTCTGGGAGTTTAGTTATTCTTTGTAGCCTCCAATTGGAGGTGTAGACTCTGACAATTCCGTAGCACATCAAGCCAGTGGCATCACTGACCGAAAATTCAATGGGCGAATCTTCGAGACGAGTATTAAACTCAGCCTTATCTGATGAGAACCTAGCTGGTCGAACTCCTATCGATGCGCGCATTCCCAGGCACAAAGTTAGGAGTGTTAGAAACATAAATGTAGAGGAACAGGCAACATTGCTGCTGTTTCAACCAACTTATCGTTGTGGTGGGGGCTAGAATCCTGGTATTTGTTGCAAAACAGCAGTTGCGTCCGTAGATATATACTGGGATAGACCTTCTAGCTAGCCCTTGCCTTTACTTCGGTCGCATTGTTTTGTTGATGATAATAAGGAAAGTTTAGTTAATGTTCTTGCAAAACTAGAGTAGCAGGACAGGGGATCAGAGAACCCATCCTATTTGAGTCGAAGCTGTGGGTCGTTCCCCAGATTGATCAGCACCCGGCCGAGACACACGGACGCTAAATTTAGCGCCTTTTTTCTCGCCCCGGGGGTAGAATCACCCCACTTTGATCGCGCTTTAGCTTGCCCTGGGACACGATACATACGACTTGATTGCAATAACTGTGCATATGCGACGACCCGCGATCTCTAGTTCAAGCATATATGATAATTCCATAATAACTACCCACTTCTTTCCCTTATTTTCCGACTGGCTTGCTTGTTAACGGGTGGGCTCACGGATTCATGTCACCTATTCCCCAGCCGTCGAGTCTTCCAATGGGGTTACATATCTCATTGTCCAGTCATGCTCCAGCTATCAAATCCATCAGCAGGGATACAAATCCCATATACCCCATTTACTTACTTCCGCCGCTCCATTATGACCAACTTAGTAGATCAACCCCCCTCTGCGCCCTATATCTTCACCCAGTTCTCTCTCCCAGTGTATATATTTCCGCTTGTTAATCAAAAGCCATCATATTCAAAGATGGGTCAACCTCAGATCCCTCCTACATTGAAAGCCTCCACCACCATCATCGCCGTTCGCTCCTAGACTAAGGGCCAAGAGGCTATAGCCGCTCTCAGGGCCAACCCCGAGGTCAAGGAAGACAACCCCGATGCCACGATCCGAGCCTTTGAGCTTGATCTCGACGACTATGAGTCAGGATTGGCGTTTGCCCGAAAAGTAAAGGCCGAGGTCAAGGAGCTGGACGTCCTCCTGTGCAATGGGACGTTGCTAATATCCATCGGCAGTAAATTGCTACACTCACTTCCTCATAGTCCTTGAGCTCCTGCCACTTCTTCAAGCTACTGCCGCTATTCGAGGTGCTCCATCGCGCCTCACGATCGTCGGTTCTATCAGCCAGACCATGCACACATTGACGAAGAACGCCGTTATCGACTCGGAGACGGTGTTTGACCACTTTGATAATCAGATGACCTACAGCGGCCTCACGCGCTATTGTGATAGTAAATTAGTCGTCGATACCTTCGTCCGTACCTTGTCTAGCCATGTCTCATCTTCCGAGGTCATTATCAACAATCCTTGCCCTGGGTCCGTCTCTACTGGTTTTGACAAGCACCTGCCTGCCTGGCTGAAGCCGCTCATATTTGTGTACCGGATGACATCTTTAGGAAAGTTTAATTCAATCAGACTATATTATCCAAGCTTATAATTAATTTCTATGCTGGGGAATATAAAAATTACAATTCATATAAAAACGCTAGCCCCGCTTATCCTCATTATAACGGAACCTAATTAACAATTGCCTATTTCTATCATTAACGTCGTTAACCTAATTGTATTATTCCCGACGGTTGCCCATTTAATTCAATAATCTTGCTCGTCGTAAGTAAGCTACAATCGAAAAAGGTATCGTGATTGTCGATAAATTTCGTCTTGGAAGTTTGTCGGGCAACATCACCCCATTGGGTTAGTTTATGAAGGCCTAGACCAGTCGATCAAGAGTGCGCCTAGTTTGTAGTGTTCACCTCCACAACCCCTCCGTGTTCCCGCCTCCAACGTCAGATAGTTGCGGTGAGTCGTCGATATCCTCACGACTCTATCGCTTCCAAGTCAAATGTACTGCTTGTCTAAGGCAGAAGATTGAACGCGGTTGAAACGCGCTTAATCGAGTTGAGCAGGCCAACGTTGCCACCATGAATCAATATGCTGTACCCAAAAGCTTCTCCAGTACGTTAGATGGAAATCGCTAAGTGTTTTCATAGTGCGAAGAGTGTCGGAGCAAAAAATATCGATGCTCCAAAAATAGACCTTCTTGCTCTTACTGTGCGAGACATAATAAGTTATGTGTCTATTCGAGCAAGGTGATTAGAAGCCCCTTAACACGCGAGTAGGTGGTCTTCATGTCAGTTCTCGTCCATCGTGACATGGTGATTAACTCCAACAGATACGTGACATCGCTGGAGAATCGAGTGCAACAACTTGAAGCCCTGCTCGCAAGGCTCCTTCCCGATGGCGATGTGGAATCCGCCCTTTCCCAAGTCCCATCCCCATCCTCTCCAGACTTCAACACGTGGGTCACAGTTGAACCCCGGCGGCCTAAAGTGGAAACCACAGATTCGCTACCAGATGAGAAAGAGATACCTTCCGAAGGACCTCCAGATGATCTTCCTATTTTATCTAATGGTTTCGAATGGTCCGAGCAAGATGACGATCCTACTAACTACATTGCAGATGGTATGGCAGCCCTATCTGTGGATCCACAGGGCGCTGGATATCTAGGTTGGTTCTCTCAACTCTTTAAGGGTTTGGTTAACTGATATTTAATAGGTTCCGCGGCTAACGTATCGTTACTTCGCTCTTTGCAAAGAAGTGGCTGGTGCGTAGTGTCTTCACGGGCAAGCTTAAGTGAGCTCTCTGGGAATCCAAGTTCCCTCTTGAATACATGGAGCATTCTACTACAGCCATCGAACCATCGCCAATTAAGGGCAACGCTCATTGACGCATACTTCTACCATTATCACCCTGCGTATCCTATTGTCCACGAAGCGACGTTTCGCGCTCAGTACAACGAAATACTGCCAAAACCCAGCTGTAGTAGTTGGGAATTACTACACAACACCATTCTCTGCATAGGAGCCTGGTGCCTAGGACATGATGTATCAGGGATTAAAGATCTTTTCGGGCTGGGTTCTCAAGGATTTAAGTTTGCGGCCAGCTTCTCATCAGGGAACCTCATTATGGTGCAAGCTTTAATGCTGTGGAGCAACTATAATCAGCGTCAAAATAAGCCAAACACAAGCTGGAACTATCAGGGGTTAGCAGTTAGAATGGCACTTAGTTTGGGATTACACAAGGAATTTCCAGCTTGGAATATAAGTCTTTTAGACAGAGAAATCAGGAGAAGGGTCTGGTGGTTTTTGTATATCGTCGACAGTGGGGCATCAATGACTTTTGGCCGCCCAGTGCTACTCCCGGAGGCAGGTGGGAGCATGGACATTGAATTGTTTCTCAATGTCCACGATGATGTGAGTATATCGAGTCTGTACGATTTGAACATGTTCTAATGATTGCTAGTGTCTGACAGCGGCTACCACCGAGATTCCGGAGGATGCAAATGAACCCACGCTGTATTCAAGTCTTCTCATGCAATCAAAGTTCCACCTCATGGCCAATCCACTTTACGCACGAAGAATCGGAAACCCAGACCTGGGAGTAGCCGAGGTCATGACCATGAACTCGAGAATCAGCTCGTGGATGTTGACCTTACCTTACTATTACCAGGAGAACGCCAACCTGCCCAACTTGACTGAATCATTGGCGCTCTCACGCTACCGGTTCTTCTGGCGTATACGGAACTTCAGGATGCTACTACTGTGGCCGATTCTTATCCACTACACAGAGAAGACTCACAATATCCCGAACGCGAGGGATAACGAGATAAATGAGACGGCCCGACAGTTGTGCTTGAGTTACGCCCATGACACGATCGCATCGATCGATGAGTATCTTCTATCTAATATATCAGGAGCTTTTGGAGACTGGTACGCTCTGTAAGTATTCGTGAACTAGAAGCCAGATGTTGGACTGACTTTCTCAGGTACTACTTGATACAGTCCAGCCTCATTCCCATCATCGCTATGTTGACAGTCCCAGAATCGCCAGATGCAGTAGTATGGACAGCGGATATAGAGACGACAAAGCGACTCCTTGGCTCTGTGGTAACACATCAAGAGCTTGCTCGCAAATTCCTAGACATAGTGAATCGCTTTTGGCCATCGATAGATGCTGTGGCACCAGGAGAATTTATGGATGGGCAGCAGAGCGAGCTTTTAAATCAGATTTATACCCAATTCACGATGGACAGTAGCGAACCTCAATTTCTGTGGCAAGGAATGTATGAGTCGGGGAATTGGGCTGCTACTCCATAATATAGAGTTTGCCATAATGTCATATAGTTAAGATGTAGGTCGTGACAGAGAATTACGCTGCATTGTGCTCCGGCTTGTATCGGAGTGCTCGCGCCCGGATGGCCCCAGTAGGAAGGATTTAAATCTACCACACCTGACGAAGTACTGCTGGGATGGTGACCAATTTTACGTTGTGAAAGTCGATAGAATTCCTTAGTACGTGCATGTCCGGAGTGCTGTTCTCCGGTTGTTAGCATCAGTAAGTTTTTTCGGTTGAAATTCCAACTAATGAAATAGCTCCACCAGCATCCCGCTATATTCCCTATATATGGCTCGATCTCAAAATCAAACAAATCCTTTCAAGAAGAACCATCACGTCTACCTCAAGAATTACTTATAATTTGCCCTTCGAAGCATAAGTCTACATATAATTTGCTATGAATTTCGGCGCAATCAACACCCCACCGAAATATGTCATCGCTTCGATCCTGGCCTCATTTGGGGCCATTGTTTTTGGGTACAATTAAATTCCTAGCTCATGATGCTTCTAGTGCTAATCTTAGATAGATATGACACTGGAATTATAGGTCCAGTGACAGTAATGACTCAGTTTGCAGACAGTTTTGGCGATTTCTCGGAGACTGCGCATGGTGCCATAGTTTCGGCAATTCTGATTCCCGCTGCCCTTACAGCCCTCTTTGGTGGTCATCTCGCTGATTCTTTGGGGCGCGTGAAGGCCATTGCGCTAGGAGCTGCAATATTTGGCGTCGGGGCAGCGCTTGAAGCTGGAGCTGCACACATTGCAATGTTCGTCGTTGGACGCGGCCTTGCTGGGGTGGGAGAAGGGTTTTTCTTGAGTACTATATCAGTGTAAGTTTACCTAATATTCCCAGGACAGTGTCAGCTTTCTAACGTTACCAGCTATGTCACTGAAATCAGTCCTCCACGTATTCGTGGCCTCATAGGCGGTATTCCACAATTTTTTATCTCCTTCGGCCTCTGCGCAGGCTACTTCGTGTGTTACGGCAGCGCCAACATCCTCTCATCCCTCTCTTGGCGCCTCCCTTTTGCCATCCAGTCTCTTGTCGCATTCATTTTCCTCGTCATCACATTCAGCCTTCCAGAATCTCCCCGCTGGCTCACGTCCATGGGTCGCAAGCAAGACGCAGCGGCGAACTGGGAGAAACTCGAGGTCTTGGCTGAAGATCGCGAGGCAATCGTTGAAGACACAGAGTTGACTCTCCATCACACAATCTCTCGCCCGGCCTCTGTCGTTGTCAAGAGCAAAATCAATACGCTCTTCGCTGTTTTTTCCCCAACGGCTTGGAGGCGCACAACACTTGGTATTTTCCTCAACGCCGCCCAGCAGCTGTCCGGCATCGACGGCGTGCTCTACTACGCGCCTACCCTCTTTCTTAATGCAGGACTCTCATCGTCCAGCGCCTCCTTCCTAGCTTCTGGTGTCTCGGCACTTCTAATTTTCGTTACCACCATTCCCGCTTTCCTGCTCGCAGATCACTGGAATCGCAGGACAAATATCTTAACTGGAGGTAGCATTCAAGCTATGTGTATGATTATCATCGGTGCGCTCTATGCGTCTGGTCAAGTCTCACCCGGCAGCGCCGGTGCTTGGACCGTGATCGTGCTTATCTACGTCTTCACCATCGGTTTCTCCGGGACCTGGGCAGTCGTCATTCGCGTCGTTACCTCGGAGGTTCAACCAGCAGCTACGAGAGCAGCTGCAACTAGCTTGGCTCAGGCAACAAATTGGTTTGTAAATTTTATCGTTGCTCTTACCACCCCTTTATTCCTAGCTCGGAGTGCTGGTGGCGTATATTTTATGTTTGGGTTCAGTAGCGTCATTGCGGTCGTGGTTTGCATGTTGTGGATGCCAGAGACAAGGGGTAGGAACCTTGAGGATATCGAGGGGAATTTTAATGGAAAGAAGAGGGGAACTGAGGGTCAGCTGCCTATAAATGAGAAAAGGCAAGGACGTGGTATGGGCGAGACAGTTGGTACCTAATTTTAGTAGTTCTTAAGGGGCCGACAGTTGGAGGACGAGTGATTATTCCATTAACGATGCTACTTAGTACAGATAACTATATAATACATATGAAGACCATATTGCCAAGTTATCTGAACTGCTTTTCTGCTCAGGGATAAATCGACGATGAAAACTTACCCTTCAACTGATAATTTTGAGATCTGTCCAGAAACCGCTTCTGTCACACCAACTTATATACGATGATTATAATTACTTTTGAGTAGCATAGAAGTAAATAAGTTGTAGTAATAATAACTATGTTTCATTGTGTGCTAGATAGTACTTCTAAAAGTTGCTTTTTACCTGTTAATTTACACGATTGAGCGTGGATATTAAGTACCCTGGAAATAAGTAACTTTACACGGAAACTACACTAAAAAGGGTTGGTGGCTTACGGGCCAGGTTGGTGGCTGAGCGGGAACACATATAGCGGGAAGCTTAAAATTAAACTTAACTTTAACACCTTCAGCTGGTACTAAGTATGTCTTGTTGAGCGCTTTCCAGACCCGCACTTGTTATTGCGAAAATAAAAATGCTATAACTTGCTCTCATTGTAGTATGACTGTATCATTGCATTATGACTTGTCAATACCAGACTAGTATCTGTAGAAAATCTAGCTAGCAAATACAACAGCTCATAATGTAACGATACATGATAACCACCCTATCATAAATCATGCCCATGAGTGAGCGATATTCTTAGCCCGTTACGCAGAGCTTATCCATCATTTCTTAGCAACTGTATACGCTGCACTGAGTTGCACTGCAACAGACTTTGCCTCCGTCGCTGCAAGCGGTGCACCAAGTCTGACGCGCATCGAGACCTGCAGGGGCTGCGTCGGTAGCTGGGCCTGGAGTTGGTGCGGCGAATGCAACGGCAACTAGGGCTGCGAGGACAAATGTTGTAAACTGCATATTTGTGATGGAGAAGCGACTCTTTCTAAACTTTGATAAGTATTAAGTAGAGATGCGTGTAAGTTTACAACTTACGGTGTTAGGTAAGGTGGTAGTTAATATGGTGTGTAAGGAATCTTTGTGTTTTTTGTTCGAGGTGTTGATCAATTGAGATATTGAAAAGTTAGAAAAATCGATGGCCTTTTATACCTCGATTCGCTCGTACTCCTCCGGAGTTAAGTAGAGAAAGTAAGCTTTACTTGTTGTCGCGGGGAAATGGAAAGGGACGTTATTCGTAGCCAGATGATCCGTCCTTCTCGACCAATACTTCTCCAGAATATTACACTCGACTTGAATTTACCACAAATAATAATTGGATCCTGATTAAATCCTTCGAGTTTCCTTGCAAAGGAATGCGGGGTTACCTTTTAACCGGATCCTTCTCTCACTCGCTAACCTATAATGTAAAAGACAACCATGCTGTTGCTGCACTATAAATACTAAACTTACAACCTTCGTCGTACAATAGTCCGAACTTTGATAACCGGTGTTACTATACGTATTGGCAGTTCCTACGATAAGCCCTCTTCTCTCTGTGGCTCCTCCTATGTAGCTGTAGCTCCTATCTTTTTACGTTTTGGGATGAGGTACAGCACCTTGGTGTAGGCGTAATCCATGAACATATCTATGGTACTCCAGATTCTAACAACATACAAAGACGCCCATTTGCCTCCTTCTCAGTAACCCACCGGAGGTTATGCAACCCCAGTAAGCCACATCTTCTGGTGCCTACCCCGCTCCATATCCATCCTAGTCTCCCCATAACTGTTCCGACACAACACCTGCGTGATGGAGACAGGGGTTGGGGGGGTTCAAGAAGAGGTTAATGGGGGGAGAGGAGGGGGTGGCAGAGTTGTTACAACCATACTGTCGCAAAATGAGGGGTGACTCCATTGAACTTGATGTCGCCCTAATTGATGTCTTTCTCGTCTGCCATTCTCAACTTGGAGTCTCGGATTATTAGGAAGAAATGATGGTGTCTGAGATGCAATTTATATGAGAAGATACAGTAAATATTTGACATTGAGTTGATAGTTTTAGAGGATGATTATGAGAAAACTCCTGTTCTCCCTGTTGTTTTGTCTTTGCTTCAATCCCTCATCTGGCGGACTTGCCAAATCATGAAAGAACGATGCCAGCTGTCCCATCACCCACTATTGATAAGCAGGATAAAGAAGTGCGGACTGAGATGTAGCGAACACGTATAAGTGTCCAACCATACCACATGATAAAATGCTGGGTGTCAGTTCTTCGGAGCTTAGAGTATCTGTTTCTGAGGCTGGCTGACAGTGGGGCACTCAACCAAAACGCCAGAGGATTAGATAAGACCTAAATATAGACAAAAGACAGGGCGACCTGGAAGCTAGACAATTTATGGATTGAGGGACATGCAGTCGACGCCCCATTTTCGGTTTCGCGGGGTAATTCCAACGGAGTATACTAGACCAATGAGATCGCTCTCAATCTTATATTAACTTCAAGCTTGTACAGTTAATATCGAAGCTTAAAACTCAGCTGTTACGAAACTCAATAGTTTAATTGATCGCCTATTGCATCATTACATTGTGGCTCAAAGTCTAACGGTAAATAAAACACAGGCATTGCTCCATAGTAAATCCACAGATTACCTACCTAGAGATTTTCTAACGACTCGAATTCAAAGCTTAGAGTATTTGCAAAGACGCGTTTATTCTTGATCTGACCGAGATTTGTTACGAGGTATCGGCAGTCTGTAGAGAATTTTAGAGGGGAGGCAAGCTTGGAGGTCTTGATTTCCTGCCATGTTCGGAACTTAAGATGACTACTGAAAGTGTTGCCCGGCAATCTTGAGGCTTTAAAGGATTCGGCAATGTCCCACAGCTTAATGGTCTCATCCCTAGACCCTGAGACGATCTGCTTGCCGTCTGACAAGAAGGCTATAGCCTAGATCGAGTCTAAGTAGCTTCTAAGCGTGGCTCACGAGTCTTCCACTTGGGGGAGCTTTCCCAACCGCATGGAAAGCTTGTGATAACACGCCTATCTTTCCCACAGGCCATTGTTCTGGTAACAGCTATTCGCCAACCGAAGATAAAACATGAATAAGATTACTATTGCAAGATGTGATATCGAAAGCCAACCTTCGTGTACAATTCCATCGCCAAATCCAAACAGGGCTTCTCAATCCACATAAAATTTCGAAGCTGCTTCTCCATTTCGAGAAACGAGCGGATATCCAACGCCTCAAACAAGTCACACAGCAGCCCCAGAAGCCATGATTCCACCTCCGCAAACGCCGGGTCACTCACGCCCGAGTTATCGATGGCGGATAGCTGGCTGAGTGCTTTCGGTATTTCGTACACCACATACGACATCATGAATGTCATCCAGAGCATGAAATCGGCGCCCCGCCGCCACATAGGATTAGACCGTGCTACCGACAGCGAATCCCTCAAACGCTCCAGCAGATACTTGCTTCCAAGTATGTCACTTCCCGACGGATGTAGCACTTTGGTCAGATAAACCATGAGCGCTAGAGCCAGGCATTCCTCGATCTGTGTGTAGCTCCGGCGCGCCGAAGGGCATCTATGGTCTGAGCTCAAGATGAGTAAGCGGACATCCAGTTCTTTGTCGTTGATCCGTTTTATTAATTCGGTGGGGATACCTGCTCCCTTTGGGAAGTGATTGATGGTTTTGGTGAAGTAGCACATGTCGTTGAGGATGGCGCCTACGTAGAAGCTGAGCACGGACATTTCGAAATATGATAAGAAGCCTGGAGTAAGATGGTCAACGGCGGTCAGTCTTTGGCAGCTGCCTGTGTGCATAAAGTTTGGCATTGTGCCACTGTAAAAAGTTGAGGTTCGGTCATTCCTATCTGATGGCTTAGACTCGCCTTACAAGTTGTTAGAAGTATGCAACGAACCATAATACAAGTTGCTGGAGAAGGCCTTCCAGTCCAAGCGTTTCCACCCCACCTCTCATCTTCACCATGTCCCCGATTGCTTTCGTGTGGCTCTTCGCTCCATTTAAATTACCAGTGTGGAACTATATTCACATATGGTCAGGAAACCTATCCAAATATTGACACCCATAACTTACCTCATCGGATGCTAAAAACAGCACTTTCGCAACCGTTGCATCGGTAACACTATCGCCTTCGTCTTCAATTGCCTTCGCAACTGATCGAATGCAGGCGCCCTTATATCTCAGCGCCTGGGACGCGTAGACGCCCTCGTGGGTCTGGTTTGCGAGACTGCGACATGCGGCGAGGAAGAGCCCGTTCATCATACCTGGGTCGGTGATGGTATATGAGACCCAATGGGAGTACATACGTCCAGTGTGTGTGTTGCTCCCCAGTGGCGAAAAGTGGGATGAGGGATTAGGAATAAGGAACTGGACATCTGAGTGACATTTCAGCTCGTGCACTGCAGACCAAAAATACTAAGACGGCGGTCGCCTCATTGATTTGACAGAAATAGGAGATCAATAAAAAAAAATGTGCCAGTTTGTGGGGACAATAGATATGAAATAAACCCTTACAGTGGTCGATTAAGGCATGCTCAAATGCCGTGCAATGAACGGCATAAGTCCTAAACGGGTCAATGCGTCCGCTGCCCAGCAAAGTAACCGGTCCCGGGGTTGACACTTCATCAACCTCTTCCTGTGAGGTTTTTGACTTCTGATACTCTACAATACGTGCCCGTCTGATCTTTGAGTGGGCTGCTCGAGCCGCATGTGCACGGATAAGCCTCTTGGTATCAGGTTTCCTGAGTGATTCCGGGCCTGCGCTGTTGACAAACTGCAACTGTGTCTGCAATTCTTGTCGCATTGGCGATGTCACAGCTGTTGGAAGGTCAGCAGCCGACAAGCTCATGTTCATATTTGCTCGCGTGTAGAACTCACTCTTACTTGTCATGCCAACTCCAGAAAAGCACGCCTTTGCAACTATAGGCGCGCTGTTCCTAGCCGATAACCGAAAAGGGTCGTTTGTCATTCTGTAAGTAATGTAATATAGCGATGGGCATTTGTAAGGATGGGTTGATTATTGAAGACAGCACTGATATTAGAGATGGGGCTACAGCAGGATGGTATTAACATGATGATGGAAATGGGAATTTATCTCTTTCGGGTGTTGGAAATTAAAAATATATAACGGTTAAAGTACAGATCACCGAATAACTCTATCATGTGACGAAATGATCGATCTACACGGAGTTGTTTTGGAGGGGTTTCGATGTTTCGTCGGCTTCTGGATAAAGTGAGTGTTTAGAACACGGTCAAGGGGATAAAGCGGGGAAGGAGGGATGGCGGGCAGCATATTAAGTACTCTATGGAGCGCATTTACCCCGCAGCTACCTACAATAGTCCCTGATTACTAATAAAAATGTGCAGTACAGTTATACAATACATACAGCATTGGGACTTGAGCTTGTATTAACATTGTGCGGAGCACGTTTGAGACGGTGAATTATCACCGTTGAGTAGGATTTAACTTCCATGCTGTAAAATACCAACAAATATACGCCACATAATGTTAACCGCTCCTTTAGATAGCGCCTTGAACAGTATCCCGACAATCGCGGCAATCTAAACTGCCCACCATCGTCCCTGGAGCAAGCTACGTCTCTGAACTCCGGTGGAGCGATTGTGTGCAACGCCACATGTACAGAAGATTGCTACGGGTCTGATATGGGGTGGCCAGAATCTCCATTTTTGCAAGGGTGATGAGTATTCGTGTCACGCCTCGGATTAAAATGTTGATTTTGGTCCAGAGGCGGTCCAGAGACGAGACAATGCTGTGCAATCCAGAGCGGCTGATGTGTGAGACAAAGCTGTGCAGTCCAGAGGCAGTTGATGCGTGAGACAACACTGTGCAACTTCCCAGAGCCATTGGTCAATAACGACTTCTCTTCGCTTTTTGACCCGAATGTCGCAGTAGCAGCACCACTGATGTATATTAGCGGTTACTCCTTGCATTTGGTGGGTCTGGGTTGACTTACCTGCACGATGAAAATATGCTCTGGGCTTACCCCCGCAAGGGGTATAAAAGATGGCCGCCATTTTTCATTGTCTCTGGGATCTAGTAATAAAAAATTGGGGTCATATTTTGCCTCATGATGAATTCTGAAAAGGAGACCGAGAGCGCACAGTCCTCGGCAGATATAGACACGCCTCCGAGCCCCATAGATATACGGCCCGATGGTGGTCTCGAAGCTTGGATGGTTGTAGCTGGTGCATGGGGCGCATGCTTCTGCAGTTGGGGGTGGATTAATAGTTGGTTTTTCTATTCCAGGCCAAAATCCGAGACTAATCATGAAAAAGGCGTGGGGGTCTTCCAAGAGTACTACGGAAAAAATATCCTCAAGGAGTACACACCTGGCACAGTATCCTGGATTTTATGTTTGGAAGCCTTCTTCCTATTGGCCCTAGTGAGTGATCGAATTGCCTTCATTGATAAAATAGGAGTTAATCATCAACTATCATGTAGGCACCAGTTATTGGGAAGCTGTTTGACAGATATGGGCCTCGTTGGTTGTTGCTAGTTGGTACTTTTCTACATGTATTTGGGTTGCTTATGGCATCCATATCAACAAAATACTACCAACTATTGTTGTCCCAAGGAGTATGCAGTGCAATTGGGGCAAGCCTCGTTTTACTACCGTGTTAGATTCCGCTTCCGTCCCAAGCTATCAAATTTTACTGACATATAGTTCAGCGCTCAACTGCGTCGTAGGCTACTTTGACACGCGCCGCTCTACTGCCTTCGGAATCGTGGCCACCGGATCAAGTACAGGCGGGGTGGTTTTACCGATCATGGTAAGTCGGTTGATTGATAACATAGGCTTTCCATGGGCGATGCGAGCAACGGCACTACTTCTCCTGGTGGTGCTCACGATGACCAACTTGACGGTAAAATCAAGGATCCCTCTAAACCCGAGTCCATTTTCGGTCAAGGAGTACATTCTCCCCTTCAAAAGAACCGCCTTCTTGCTCACGTCTTTCGGTAATATTTTATTTGCGTTCGGATCGTTTGTTCCCATGACATACTTGGTTGTTCAGGCAGTTTCTATGGGGATGGATAGACGTCTTGCACAGTACTTAGTTGCAATTATCAATGGGTCTAGGTAAGTTACTTATCACTGAGCAAGAACCTACGTTTTAACTTACGACTGCAGTACGGCTGGCCGCCTCGGAGCCGGAGTTCTCGCTGACGTATACGGACCATTTAATGCATGGATTGCCGTCACGTACGCTGCCGGTATCTTGATTCTCTCACTTTGGATACCCACAACGAATGACGCATCCATCATTGCCTTTGCCTCCCTCTTCGGAATCTGCTTTGGAGCATACGTAGCCATCCAACCTGCGCTAGTAGCACAGATAACCCCCATCGCAGACATAGGCATTTGCACCGGGCTATATTTTTCTCTCTCGGCCTTCTCACAACTAGTGAGTGGCCCGATTGCCGGACACACTCTCGAAACGTCAGGCGGCTCGTATCTTGAGATGAAGATTATGGCTGGCTTTCTTTGTCTGGCAGGTGCCACTTTTGTGCTCGGAGCTAAGCTTTATGCGACAGGCTACAAGCTGATGGCGAAGTTCTAGCCCCCTCTTATTTGTATGACTCGGAGAAAAGGGGGATGAGGGGGAATTCACGTGCTCGAAGACGTTGGGCGGTCTACTTGAGCATTGTACAAATTGGACGGGTCTAGAACAGATTTAAGGAGGTAGCACTTCCATTGCACGCAAATTTTCAGCTACCATCTCACGCGGGGTAGTCGGACAATATATGGTTGCACCCGTGGTTGGAATTGATCACGACATTCCGTATCCATTTGCGTCCATGACAGTGGGACAACAGGCAATATTCATATTTGGCTATACTATGCGGCAATTATGTGGATGGAGATTCAGAGCCCATCATAGATTATACCAAGGGCTGCCGTTGAATGCGAGTACGGCCTGTAGTGTCACAGTGACGAATGTTGTACCACTTAGATATATGCATGTGCATATAAATGAAGGACGAAGTTCACTTAATTTGTCGCGATGCAGGTTGTTTCTGAAGGCCAGTGTTGTCACATTCCAGAGTGCTTCACATGAGATGCACTTATTGTGCTCCCCCGAGAATCCTCGCATTCCCATACATGCATGATCGACAGGGCCTCTCCCCAACTTCTGATCCCGAAAAAGGTTATTATATAATTATTTATGCTTTATTAATATCCTCCTATGCAATATCGCTTTATATCAACCACGACTCCACTCAACTCCCCGAGTCCGGCCAATCTCTCCGTGGAGACGCCTGATCAGGCGACATTGTCCGTGGCCATGGCGCCGCTTCTTCGTCTTCGGGGGCTATGTACGATGGGACGGGTTTCCGCCTTGGTCTCGACGCAGTGCTCATATCCGTGTCTCTGCGCGTCAATGGCCCCATGCTCTGGTCCGTGTCTCTACGTGTCAATGGCCCCATGCTCTGATCCGTGTCTCTCCTGACAAGGGTCTGCATACTTTGATCCGATTCCCTTCTCGTATCAAAGTACCCAAAGCTTTGGTCCGTGTCTCTCCGCGCATACCCTGAACGCCTCTCTAGAGCAGCCTCGGGTAGCGGAACCTGATGCGGTGAAATCAGCGGAGACGGTGAAGACGGACCAGATTCCCCCCGTTGGAACCCAGGCCGCTGCATTGCACTCTGCGGTATGGCAGGCGGGGAAGTTGGGTCATATGCCACCGACATCCGAGAGCCTGACATTCGCGATGTTGTGGCGGGCCCATCATAGAGATCCTCCTCAGACGCCTCCATCCCACCAGTCAGTGTCAAACCGGACGTTCTGTCTTGATGCAACCTCTGTAATTTCGACATCTCCGTTCCCAACGCGGGCGTATCGGGCGCATTATTCACGCTTTCGTATGCTCCCCTCATTTTTTGCACGTTCTCGTACTCATCCCTCTTTCTCAGCGCTTTCGTCCGTACTCTGTCCAGAGCAACATGTCGATGCGTCTCATTCTCACCCTTGTTTTTCTTATCCCGACGGTCATTGTGGCACATGCGGCACGGACATATAGGCTTCCCGCCCGGGTTCTTCGTCACCTCCGCATCCCATACGAGCTGGAGATCGGCTCCACGCATCTGAGATTGGTACACTGTGTCCTTCCACCACGCAGAAAAGAGTCGCATGTTCGTCCCGCCCGTCCAGATCGCGCACTTGGTGCTGTTCCAGCCGTGGACGAATGGGCTGCCGAGTTCTCCAAAGAAATCCTTGATCTTTTTACGGACGCTCAGGTCTTTGTCCGTTTCGACGATGGATTGGCGTTCAGATTTGGCATATTTGACGACCCGCCAGCCTGCACGGAACAGGACAACTAGGGCCTCCAGCCAGGCCCCATTGTACCGGTCGATCACGGCGGCGAAGATGACGAGTATGGCGCCAACCCAGGCTCCCCATGCCCCTATAGCATCGCTGTGTTCGCTGGGTGGTATTGTCTGTATTAAAATCTCACTTGCTATGACGCTAGCTATAAAAACGATGGGGCATATGACACTGAGGAATATAGCCGAAACGTAGAACATCGCTGCTATAGCTTTGGCGATGTGGTAGCGTATTTTCTTCCGCGTGGTTTCTTCCGTGTTTTTATCCTCTCTGCCATATTGTTTAAGCAGTTCCTCCTCACGCTTGCCCTCGAATAGGACCTTGATCCACAGTCTGAGGTCAGCATTGCAGACGCGGAAAATCGCATTTCGGACCTCGCTTTGGCTGTAGTAACTTTCCAGAACGCCGATAGCCCCATTAATAGTTATGAATGCAAGCGCAAACAAAATAGTGTAGAAGAGATTGTTAAAGGCTTTGGTTGAGGCGGCTTTATCAGCTTTTGTTATAAAGTATGGTACCATGTTTTCGCCCCGACGCATGGGAGCGATGGGGCTCAGTGTGCCGCAAAAGTCGATGCAGTTACATCTGTTGTAGTATTCAAGCGCTAGAAAATTGTCGGTTTGGGGTACGATGCAGTCCGGAGTTCCCTCGCACAGGGCAAATGATGGCAGGGTGTTCACCACCATTCTTCCCCCGCTGGTGAGACCGAACCCCCGCATCATGACGCCTAGGCACGTCGCTAACGCAACAAATATCAGGGCCCCCCAGCAGACAATAACTGCTTGAGCATGGTGCTTGCGCACCGTGTTCGACCACATTAGAATGGGCGTGAGCATGATACCCGACGCAGTAAGGATGGGGAAAATTCCAAAAAGGTCCAGGTCCATGTATTCCTTCGTGGACTCGGGGTCCCAGCCCCCTGGATCTCTGAAGCGAAATAATCCAACGAGGGTGAAGAGGTGTACTGCCGACACGGCCGCATAAGTCATGGCTGTGCCGAGTGCGGCGACGGAGATCCAAACATGTCGGCGGAAGACGAGCGAGAAGACAATTAGGACGTAGAAGAGGGCGCGCGAGAGCGTATTGTATTGCCCACTGATTGGGTACACGCAATCGATATTCATCTGAATGCGACTTGAGTCGAATATAGATTCCGTAATCGCAAAGGCACTGTTCAAGATGCGGAGGGAGGAGACCTGAAATATGAGACCAACATAGTCGTCATCGTAGAGTCTTAGGCTGACGCCTTGGTCGTCATCGTTCCCGGGGTAAGGGGTAAAGTTTCCGTTAAGCTGAGGATGGAGTGGCCCAGTTCGCCATCCAATCCGGTACAAGAACGTTTCGTTCATAGGGGTAGTCATTGTTGCGGCCACGAGGAGTGCGAGCAAACGAGCCCATAAAGCTCACAGGAGATAGATGCTTATAAGCTTAATCATACCCCAACCAATCTCTAGATATATTCACCAACAAAACAGCCAAGGTCGTCCTCAGCGATCCATGCACACCGGTCGATAAGGACTGGATGCATGCTTCTATTTACATACTTCTGTAATGAGGGTCGAGAGGGGGTTGTAGCTTCAACGCTAGGCGGCACTGCCCGTATGCCAAAATTAGCCGTCTCAGCTGTCAGCGCTAGCCCTATACTGGCTCCCGAAGGATTTTTAGGATGCAGTGCGGCTGGGGAACTGTCCACTAACAATCTATCATTTCTTGGCCGGGCCACGCCTTCAGGACCACACCTATCAACTCTAAACAATATTGTCAGAATTTAGGGATTCGAGATGGTGGGATTCGCGTGGCTGGCCAGGCCTGCGCCGATATATCCGCTCGATGACACCCTGATGGAGGCTGAAATTGGCCAGCTCTTGCGCCAAATCGCGCACGAACGCGAAATCGTGATTGCGATACAGTCGCGTTCAAATAGAGCCGCCTTCGTTGCATTACTCGTTCTTCCTTCAGTCCTCCACCTACCCCCCAGTCCTGGTCACTTCAGCTCCCATGCCAAGCTTATCTTCCCCTCCCACAGAGCGTCGTGCAGACACGGATCTTGTCTTCCCCCTTGTTGCCGGGGCGCACAATGAACCCCTCACATGGTCACACTAACGCAAGGCTCGGCAGGTTGTCTTTGCTGTGTCACAGCTCGATCCTTCTCTCGCGCTAGCTAGGCACTGGGATCTGGTCTGTGATCGTGATTTGCTCGGCGCGTTGGCATTGGGCTGCAGCTGTGCGTCACATATGGTGTATGATCGCACATTGTGGGGGCTGTATGTGAGGCTGTTGACAGGGAATCTTGCGCAAAAGTTTCCCAAATAATTGGAAGGATCTATTCATGTGTTTTGTGCATATCCGCGGAGGAAGCTAGTTTGCGAAGAGTCCTCCTAAATGGGCAAGGCCCTTTTCCTGTGGGCAGAAACTTCCCAAAAAGCTAGGGTCTACCCTTGTATTCGCAAGGAAGGAGCGGCTCCCGCGGAAGCTGCTCAATTTAGCCGTTCCGATGGTTCCTGCCTGTAATTTGTGATTACTATACTTACTAGGCGCGGAAAATCGGAGTTATCTTGACTGTCGCATTCGGAGCTGCTCGTAGCTGCGCATTTAGAGCATATTTCCAACTACATCGGCCTTTCAATTACATCAGCCATTAGTCACGAGTGCAGGAAACTTGAGAGTGATCACAAATTTAACTGTTTATTATAAGCAGCTATAGCATCGCTAGGTATACAGCCATTAAATTGTGAAGACAGAGCAGCTAGAAACTCAACCCTCTACTCCAGCCACCAAATTACACTCCTGTCACACGGTAGAACCGATCAACAGAGCATCGCACCAAAAGGAAGAGAATCAGTTACTGATCTGTGGCACTAATTAGCTCCAGACTCAATCACCACACTTCAGATCAAACATACCTCAATAATCGCCGGCCCCGCAGCCGTCGTATCATCCGAAACGGTGTCCTTGCAACTGGTCAACACCGCGTAAGACTGTCCACTAAATCCCATCGGAATCGTGACCTCGAAACCACCTGCGACCGGGGTCGCTTCGACAAATGTTGGGCCTGTGACCGAGATGAACGCCGCATACACGGTCGCAACGCCCTGGGCAGCCTTGAGGGTGTAGCCCGGCGTCAGCAGCTTGACTTTGCTGCCTGCCTTCACAGTACCGGCAGCGGGATCAAGCTGGAGAGCTGGGAAGGCTTTGACGGGCAACTTGGCGTTCGTCGTGGGGCAGCTGGTGATGAAGCCTGCGGCCAGGGTGTACACCTCATCAAGGGTGAGGGGCGTATCGAAGGGTGCTGCGAAGGGGGTCTGCTTGAGCCCAGCACGGATGTAGGAGGAGTGCCTCGCTTCGACGGTGAGGATCGAACCAGCGGCCGTGAGGTAGGCCTTGCTCATGATGTCGGCTGCGGCGCCGAGGTAGGCGGAAACTCCGACGCCTTCAAGGACTGAGGCGGTGGCGATGAAGGTCTTTACGTCGGTGAGGGGGAAGTTGTAGGTGCATGCGTCGACGGGCTTGGCTCCGGCGGCTGGGATGGTTAGTATGCGAAGCTTCTGGAGAAATATGGACGGAATAGGGGGGGTTGGAAGGGAGAGTAAGAATGGGAAACTAACCGGTCAACCCTGAGGTAAGGAACTTGACATGTTCTGTCTCGTCACTTGATACTTTCTGGATGTTGGCGTAGAAGGTCGCATCGAACCCGGCGGCGGCAAACTGGGCTTCGGTGAATTTTGCGAGACCTTGGCGGTAAAAGTTATCCTCGAGGTGCTCGAGAGTGAGGGCGTACTGGAGGATGTCGGCTGGTAAGGAGTTAGGAGTTGTTGCCAATTGCTATGGGTTGAGTAGGTGTTCAGCTTACCATCTGTTGGGCCGGCTCTCTTCGCGAGAGGGGATGAGGAAACGATGCCTGCAGCCGCGAGGGCGATGATGGATTGGGAGAACTTCATGATGAGGTAGGAGAATACAGCAATGTGTATGTAGTAGTTGTTATTGCGGTATGGGATTGATAGAATAGAGAATGTGGCGCCAGGTACGGTTTATAACCAGTGAGTGAGAATGACGAGCTGATTAATGCCCATACTGTACTCCTATGATATCCTATTCTACTATGGCAAACATCTCTTCCGTGCCAATCTCTCATAACAACACTCACATCACTCGCGGCCCAATCCCCATCCGATGGGATGACAGCTGGTTTCAATTGACGATCATCTACCTACCCATGTCTATTTCCCCGGGAACAAACCATCCCATCTCAGTAGCACCAAAACAAGGCACCGACCTCCAATTCGCCACTTCCATAACAAGCTTATCTGTTTCAAGAAACGGATTTCCCTATTAGACGAAGTATACTGGCATCTTGGACTTCCGAATACGTTAGCTCCGTCCCAAAGTGATAAGATCGCCCTCTCGGATCTTGCTTGGCCCGGCTTAAACAACACTAAATGCGGGAGTAACCGCGCTAGGTACGAAAATGGTCTTAGTAAACTGTCATATCGACGCTTGCCTTACCTTTAACTCCGAACCGGGGGTTTGGGGATGGGGGTATTGGATGAATTGGGAAGGAATGTTTGCAGAGGTCGCTGGTCAAATTAGAGACGTTTGTATATCATAATGGAGGCAAGATCTCCATCCGGATGTTTCAATCGCCGAAACAACTTTCGTCAGTATATTGAATGTTTGTATCACAAATTAAATTGGTAAGCTCTCACTTTTACTATATGCCGAATGTGACGACGAGGAAGGCAGTGCACGGGTACTATTATTTCCGAGACGCCCATCTGCAAGGTACGAGGTATCCAGGAACCAAGGCAGAACTTGTGATAGAACCAAGACGGGAAATTTGATTAATAGCGCCAACTGATGGGCAAGCAGATCCAAAGACGTAGTACAGTATAAGGCACGAGCCCTCCCGTCTCCCGCATAAATCATAAACCACACGCAACATATTCCTCACGCGTCTTCAATCCCACTGCATCATCAAACCCCTAAACACCAAGCAACCAACCAGCCAAATCAACAAACCGCAGCCATGAAACTCGTCATCCTCGCCGCCCTTCTCTCCGGTATTTCCCCTCCCAAAACCCAATCCTCATAACCCCCTCTCCAAACATAACATAAACCCGCTAACCCACCCCAACAGCCCTCCAACTCACCGCCCTCGCCGACTCAACAATAACATGCTCCACCTGCCCATCATCCACCCCCGCAGCCCCAGACATCGTGACGCGCACTGATGCCCCAGTGACGCCCTGCTCGGCGGCTGTGCTGACTGCTGTGTCTGATTCTTCGACTGGGGGAGCGGGCGGGAGTGGTGGAGGTACGGGAGGAGGAGCGAATGCGACCGGGACTGGGGGTGCGCAGCCGACGCCGAGCCCTAATGTTGGGGGGAGGGTGATGGGGAGTGCGGGGGGGGCCGTGGTGTTGGGTGTTGTTGTTGCGTTTGTGTTGTGAGATGGCGAGTGACGGGAAATAGGAGTGAGGTGGTGAGAGTGCTGAATACAGAGTGGATGGGTGTGATATCTGGTAGGAGGGTTAATTAATGGCTTGTTGAGAAAGGGGCTTCGTGTGTAGGGGTGTAATATACCATTAAATTCCATCCATAGCGTAGCAATACGCAGACTCCATGCTGTCCATATAGGCTCTGTTGGGTTTTCGTTGAGAGCTGTCGTAACGCTGCACTATTTCGTTTTTTCGTCTGCAACTCCGTCCCAAAGTTTCCTCGTAGTGTCCTATTTGCGATTTCATGCTCTTTCGACGACAGAATGCCATACGAAACCATATCGTAGAACCAGTGCCCCTTGCACCTTTATTTTCTCAGACCCGAATTCGAAATCATACCACAGTTGACAAGATTATGTTGGAACTATGTTTTGTTGCTCGCTGCGTTCCCGGAATTCTAGTAGATCTGCAAGGTTCTTTGTATACATTATTGTATGCTCGTGCTCCCTGCCAAGGACCTTCTCTGCAAGCTGAGCTGATTGTCGGTACATCAACTCAGCCTCATCGTACTTGCCCTGTTCTTGTAGGACGACTCCAAGGCTGTTCATGCTTTTTAGTGTATCAGGATGCTCCTTGCCAA